ATTTTTGCAGTAGAGCCTAGCTAAGTCAGGTTGGGACACCCTGTTTGGCTCCACAATCAGTCTTTCTGTAGGAATTTGGTAATTCATTACGTTTGTGGATTTTATTTTAATTTTATTAAAGAAACTAAAATGAAAACCCGTAACCTGTAACAATGGAGTAGTTTAAGTTTAAATAATAGACCTATTATTGCAATTTATTGCAGTACGTATATTCAATTAATATTATTATTTTTATTTATGGCGAATGCGTCGGGGTTAATGTTATGGAGTGAAAATTTCCAAAATGTTGACGTTGAAAGAAAACTAAATCTACCTATGTATTGGAAAATATTCCACTCATTTAATATAAAGTCACGTTATAATACTTTATTTGTTTATTAACAATATGGTATTGAACATTTCTGCATTTTGAGAAATTAATGCAATGAGCAATAACCTTCTCGAGATCATTGTCATTGTTTCTAATTTATATAATTTTTTAATAAACAAATTCCGATTTTTCTCCTCTTCTAAACAAGAAATTAAAAAAAGTACTGGTAAGCCTAAATGCTTAAAATTTAGAAACCGTTTTAACTTTTTTGTGCTGGGTTAATGATAAGTAATATTGCTTAGCGCCGCGCGCAGAGCACGGTGGACTGGAATAACAAAAACTTTTGTATTGGCCAATTGGCCAATATTCATTAAAAATAATAATAAAGATATCACTACGAAATTTAACGACCATGTTTTTGTGGTACTAATCTTAATCCTATAGAATATTTTAAGTTGTTATAGGAATATAGGAAGTACATTTAACCTACTTCAACAAAAGTTTATTCATTTAAACTATAAAATCGCCGCCACTGTGCCAAACAACTTAAAACTATAGTAGCATTTTTTCTCCAAAAATAATTTAAATTAGATAAGAAGTTTCAATCCTTAAAATGCTCTGTAAAATTTTTAAATATAATAATAAGCCCTTATGATAACTGGGACGATTTATATAATAACATCGTGACGTCACGCTACCGCGAGAATTTCTCAATATTTAAGGATTTTTAAGGAAAAGTCGGTATCAAAAATCGGTTTTTCTCTCTATAATAGAAATAGTTGTATTATACAAGTGGCGGCTGGTGGATTTCTCAGTTATTAGACATGGAACCAACATCAAATTTATGTGAGTTTATGACATTATATATACAAGTTCTGCGCAAGCAGAATTTAAATTGTAGTTTGTTTTGTTTGAAGTTAGTTTTAAGTCTGCCCACAGCCTCCTGCCCCCCCAAATTAAGATAATTCAAATTAAAGTGGTACAATATTTAATTCACTGAAGTTTATCGAAAAATTTTAAATTTTATTAAAAAAATTCAAGTATTACAGATTTTATACCATTTCTATTTTTTTTAAATTTAGTAAAAAGAAATAATAAAAATTTAAAATGGTATAAAACCTTTAATTCTTGAATTTTTTTAATAAAATTTGAAATTTGTCGATAAACTTCGGTGATTTAAATATTGTACCACTTTAATTTGAATTATCTTAATTTGGGGGGGCAGGAGGCTGGGGGGCACACTTAAAAACTAAATCTTCAATCTTCAAGCTCATTCCAAACATACCTACTCAATTAAATTTAAAACCACACCCTTTAAACAATACCTACCTACATTATGTAGGTTGTTATCTATGGTAGGTAGGTTGGCTATAGCCAAGATAGATGTTTACGTAGAGCGTTATAGCGTCGCTATAAAGCTCTACGTAAACATCTATGTTGGCTATAATAGCCATATAACCAAAGACTGTGGATATAACGCAGTAGACTTGATCTCAAGTCGATGTTTTGCTCCCGAGTGTATTATTATAATTGTCACTAATAAAAATTAAACAAATAGTCACCTAATGTGCTGCACTAATATATTAAAGTAGGTGTTAAAGTATCAAGAAAGGCAATTTATTATTAAATTAATGGTTTTGTTGAGACCTGTTGCTTAAAACGTTCGTGTTTATCAAAAACAAAATCTTTCTTGAAAAAATACTTGCAATACTCGACAAGCGTGCAAGGTGTGTGTTAAACAAAAAAAAAATATGTTACTAATTAAGTTTTATTTTCATAACATGGATAATTTTAGCCAATAATAATTCATAATCTGATCTGAACACTAGTAACTAGCAAACCAATACTAATTTTTATAAAGATTTTGTGGAATTTTTTTTTTAATTTTTGATAAATTATTTTTTTATAAATATTAACAAACACGCATTTTTTAATTAAATCAAAATCCAATATTTCAAAAATGGCAACGTTGTATGGAGTAAAATAATAAATAGCCACTAAACATTATTCATACATACTTTAAAATCTGCAAATTTTATATAATTAGTATTGCTTAGACTGGGCCAAAAAGATCAACTATTTTTTTTAAAGTATATCGAAAATATGGTTTGGGGTGACAAAAAAAATATTGTGAAAGTCTGAGTCCATAATATTAATATTAAGAGGTTTTTTTCAGAACATTGAGTTTAACAAAATTGACTTTTCCGTCGGATGAACCGTTTCCTTAAAATCATATGCCTTAAAAATTGGTAGTTTTACATTTTGATCTTTTAACTTTGGAATTTTGTAATTCATGTAAAAATCAGAACCCAGAAAAAAACCGGTGAATATTCTTATGGGAAATCTAATGCTTTACAAAAAAGTCTTAACATTTTTGGCTAAATTCATTTAATCAAGTTTAACGTCAAAACGAAATTCTTGTTTTTTCCTCTGTAGATTTATTTTTTTATGGATGATAATTTGATTTTTTTTCCAATAAAAACAACATGATTGTTATTATTTATTATTAAATAGGTAACAGTGAAAATAATACTTTAGCTTCTTAAAGCGAAAATATTCGAATGTGTTATTTTTTTTCTTTTAGTAATTTTATTAATAACATAAAGATTATCATCGATAAAAGTTTTAACTGACCCAAAAACAAATCTAGAGCGGAAAAACAAGAATTTCATTTGACTTCAAATTTTACCTTGAATAACTTTTGATGCAGTGAATTTAGCCAAAAATGTTAGGAGATTTTTTTTGTAGAGCAAATGATTTCCCATAAGAATATCTATTGGTTTTTTTTCCGGGTACTGCTTTTTACATGAATTACAAAATTCAAAAGTAAAAGATCAAGTTGTAAAACTATAACAATTTTTAAAGCATGATTGTTAGAAAACGGTTCATCTGACGGGAAATTCAAATTAAACCTTTTTTGTAGAGCATTCAATTTTCTTCAATAAATATTCCCAAATCAATTTTGTTAAACTCAATGGTTTGGAAGTTCTGAGACAATAACCCGCTCACACTAAACAACATTTTTGATATACCTACTACAAAAAAAAATAGTCGATTTTTTTGGCCCAGTCTAGTATTGCTATATCAATTATAATCGTAATAGTCCAGTCAAACCGTCGTGATAAAGGGCCTGACCTTGCGTGCCAAAGCACTGTCTGTTTTTTAATGAATCGATATACGCAAAAATGCATTTTTGCAATTCATAGTAGGTATTGCACAATAAAAAGAAAAAAAGCTTTTTTTAATAAAGCAAATATTTAAAATGTTGTTCAATTTTGGCTATTTAGTAGTTTTCAATTTTGAACGAAAAACTGGTTAAAGTTTTTTGATCGAAACTCTTTGGAGATTTAAAAACGATATTTACCAAAATTCTAACTGCTTTTTTTTTAAATTTGTCATAAAATCTTTTTTTTTTTAGTTATTTGTTTATCCCAGAGTACACATTTGTACACCGATTTTTATTGATTGCAGTTTCTTGTTCGGGACCTTTGGTAACTTTAAAATCATATTTACCAAAATCCAAGCTGCTCCTCTTTTCGAAATTTTTTGAAAATTCTTAATTTTTTTTTAAATTTTTGTTTATCTTACCTTTGACAGAGTACACATTTGTACACCGATTTTTATAATATTATTCAAAATCAATTTTTCTTATAAAGAATCCCATTTTGTAGCCTGATAAACATAAAAATATCTAAAAAAAAATGGGGATAAATCTTTTTTGCGTGTTACATATGCCAAAATCATGAATTTACGCTTTTGCTTTATTAAAAGAAGAGATTTTTGGCTAACCCTGTATATATTAAATGATGTGCAGAGTATAAAAAAGTATTCTCCAAATCTCCTTAACATACTCCAATATTATAAAAATCGGTGTACAAATGTGTACTCTGTCAAAGGTAGACTTTAAGAAAAACTAAAAATTTAAAAAAAAATCATGACTTTTCAAAAAATTTCGAAAAAAGAAGCAGCTAGGATTTTGGTAAATATCATGTTTAAGTCACCAAAGGGTCCCGAACAAGAAACTGCAATCAGTTTTTGGCGGCATTTTTATGTGACTTAAACTTCGTTCAGGCACACCGTGTCCACGTCAAAATATATTTATATCTTCTATGTTCTTGATAGTTTGTGATTTTTTTCGGTGGAGTTGTCGGTGTGGTACCACACGTACGTACGTCTGGCCGTTTTTCAGATAGGCTGTATCTTGATAAATATCGTCATTATCCTGTTTGTTAGAATTAAAATTAACTTATAATAAACTTTGCTACGGAACATATTAACCTGGCCCTTTCGAAAGCCACACGCTGCGCCGCATTGGTTTGTACACCAGTACGAAATGATGTCGACAAGTGATGATGGAACTGTCTTCCCCTGAGATCATTACAGGCTTAAGTTTCCAGCCCACTCTTCTGGATCTGCACTGTATAAAAGGTCTAGGTAGGATTTTTTGTAACGAAACAAACTATATATATATATATATTATATATATATTTTTTTAATATTTACAAAAAATATAACAAATTATATTCATTTAAATTTTACTAATTTCAAGTAAAAAATTATAAATTAAAATTGAATTCTACATTAATTAATTTTTTTTATATTAAGAGGAATCAAAGTAAATATTACTATATTATGATAACTAAAATGGTCATTTAGACAAAATTTATTGACAATCTCCCTTTATTGGAACTTACTTTTCTTTAAGAGCCTTAATTTTAATGGTTAAATTAAATGTTATTAATCCGGTACTCGAATAAGAACAAAGAATCGTATTTGGAAACATAATACACTTCCTGAACAATTCATCTTCAGCCATCTCATTTAAGCAATAATCAGTCCTTGTGATTTTCTTCTCTGGCTTCTTTACATCCATGATGGTGATCTCGTAAACGTAAGTTTTTCGTTCGTTGCCAGACCCAAATATTTCAACAGCCCAAAAACAATGATCCCCAGTTCTTTTGCAGGAAACCCTGAAAATTCTGTTGTCCACAATCATGAAACGTTTATCTAAAAACTGATTGTAAATCAACTGATCTAGGCGGTAGGATTCCGTGTATCCTTGATTTTTAGTAGCAATCAATTTATCACCATGCGTTTCTCTTATATGTCCTATGATGGTTTCCTGATTGCCAGTTACAGAGCACTGTGCAATGGGGCACTTCATAGGCCTAAAACTGCAAAATTCCTCGTGTTTAACAATTTGACTGGCCAGATTTGTTTCGCTACAACCCATGTCAAAATACGTACATGGATATAAAACGCCGGAAGTTAAAGCTTCCAGCGCATAATTCCGGGTCGACCCAAATGGTGACGAGCATGTTGGGCACTTTTCCAACCTTGGATAGCATTTATTGCAAATGCTGTGGCCGGTGCGGCATTGAAATATCGGCGTTTTCATAAATGTTCTGCACACTGGACATTCCAAGTGAAGCAACTTATCATGGATATCAATGGTGAAAAGTGAAGATAATTTAAATACATTTATTATGTGTTGACTGTTGCCAATCACAGCTTTAACCACATCCAAATCCATCTCTGATGAGTTATTTGAATTTAATTCATTGTAAATAGAATCTGGTTTTACTAACTGACTGTTAGTTTTAATGTAGGTTGTATCGCTTTCATCCCCCTTGTGTTTTACAGTATATTTAAACCCCTCTTCTGAATCTCGAATTGCGCACAACATATAAATCAATTTATTCTTTTGCATATCTACATGAATCTTAATGTAAAACATGTAATTTTTAGACCACAACAACTTTATAAATGCTGTCTCTGAAAAATCTACTTTTACAGTAAAAACACCATTATCTGCATTTATTATGGCAGCCCCATGAATGTTTTTAAAGTGAGTTATAATTTCATGGTAGTGCCCCTTCCACAAACAGTCATTCATAGGGCAATTTCTGAGGCGATAACTACACACAGAAATATGATCTAAATGTTCATGATAAGAAAATTTCAATTCACACCCTTTAGAACTATATTTACAAGGTAAAGTCAATTTTGACAATATTATGTCTAATGACGGATTAGGCCAACCTTTGTCAGGACAATCTTTATATTTTTCATCAAAACATTTTGCACAAACATTTCCTTTCCCTTGAACCAATTTTACTGGGGAAATTAGTATTTGTTCACAAATACAACACAGTAATACTTTTTGGCTCAACAAATTTTCTGTAAACTGGTTAAATACATCATCATACATATCTACAAAAAAATATAAATTAAACTATTAATACATTATTGCTGAATTACCTTCAGAGGAGTCCATTGTAAAAGTATATTATTTATGTGGTTTTACAATCTTTTTTGTTTGTTTAAGTACTTGATAACCTTTTAACCCAAATGTTGTTCTATAGAAATAAAAACATAAAAAATGTAACCTAAATTATTATTTAAAATATTTAAATCTTTACCTGCATTCACAGAATAATTCAAATTTTACGTAAGACCTATAAGATAGGTATATAGTATAAGTATTTTACAAGTATTTTTATTTTGCCGTGCGGTAAACGTCACATCTGACATATAACCACAATTACCTGTTTTATCGACTGTTTTGCATTTATTATGTGAAAATGTCAATAATTTTATAAGTATTTTCGAGGTCTTACAAATTTAATAACACTACACCAACACGCTACCGATAAGATGTCGCTCGAGCAAACTGCATGTGAAGGTAAAATATAGACAATTGCAGAAAAGTATAATCATAACCTATAAATTAGATATCATTGCAGATTTAAAAGCTTTTGAGAGGCGTCTTACCGAAGTTATAGCTTGTTTACATCCCTCAACGACCCGCTGGAGAAGTATGAATAAATAGAATTTAAAAAAGATTGTATAACTAATTGTTTATGTAGTTGTTTTAGTGACTGTTTCTATATGTGTTGCAACTGGTGCTAGTCAATGGATTTTGGATCCCGAAACAAGAATAGTTTCGCTATCACAGTCATTAATTAATCATCCATTTTTTATTCTCTCTACATTAATATTAAGTAAGTTCACACATTAATAACACTCTGTAATCTTAACATTCTTTATTTTTCAGTATTAATTTTATTTCTTGGTGTTCATAAACGAGTTATAGCAGCTTCAATAATAACATCTCGAACTAGAGAAGTGTTAAGTGACTTTAACATGTCTTGTGATGATACAGGAAAATTAATCTTGAAACCAAGACCTTCAAATATAACTTGACTGACAAACTTTTTGAATAAACACAATTTGTTACCATAAATACTTTCTTAATAAATTTGTTTTTTAAATAAATATATAGCATTTCTTTTGTAAATGTATTAAATGTTTATAGATGGAAAATTGTATTATATTGGAGGTGGCATAAGTAACAAAATGGTTGTTGGCAAAAATCTAAAAACAAAAATGCACAGAACATAATACCCTACTTGTGTTCTGTGGTTCTTGGGCGCATACAAGGCAGTGCAGTCTTTTTCTATGGCTTTATCCTTGTATTACAAGGATATGTACCAAATAACCCCTTTGTTTTGCATGGTCTGATAACACCTTTACTTTATTTCCTGGGCTATGGTTGAAAAAATTACTAATATGGTATTTATATACCTAGTTTTTTTTATATTATTATTACCTAATGGGTTTATTAAATAAAACTTATTTCATTAGAAAAAACATATTTTTCGAATATTTTTAATTCATTGTTGCCATTCATCTAAATTCAAAACACTCTATAATTATTCCTAGACAAAAGGGGTCTAGGAGTGTTCTTATATTGGCAGCAGTGTTGTTACCGTACAAATTGTACGGTACTATCGCTAACAAAAAAAACTCATACAGCTATATTGTGGCTGTGTGAATAAAACTTTTCCGTCAATGTCAAGCTGACATCGAGCTTTGTCACATCCATTATGACTTTTTTAACATTTTTAACCAAACAATGCAGACGAACTCTGGCAAGCCATTGAAGCCATTTGGAACGAGATAAAGCAAGACGGCGACTTCCATGCTTTTCCGTTTGCGGGCAGTAATTGACAAAAACAGAGGGATGACGAAATATTATTTTTTTTTTCAAACTTTAACCTAACTTTGTATTTAATTTTAGACCTTTCAAATGTGACGTATCATGTTAAAAGCCATAATTACTCCAACGAAATGATAGAAAATTAGGAACACTAGATTTTTAAGCTGTATGAGTTTTTTTTGTTAGCGATAGTACAATTTTAATTTTAAAGGCTTTGTTATCTATGATTTTAATCGTATTTGTACGTTTATCTACTTTATCTAATCCAAGGATCATCTTTATCCTATTTGTTCGGTTAACAGTTTTTTGCATTTCAATTTCGAAAATACTATTTATTAGTCATTTTTAGGTTGTTGGGTCAAAAAAACTTTTGTAATAATATTATTAGACATATTATGTCTAAATGCGACGATACATTATAATCTTTGGATGTGGGCACCACAAAACTAGTTTTGTGGTGGGCACACAAAAATTCTGTTGAAGTATTTCAAATTTCCCGCCTTAAATGAATAAACATAATACCTAGCAGGATTAAAAACTTAATTTAATATAAATTTTTGTTGTATTTGAAAATTTTTGGGTGTTGTAAGGCTATTTTATTTAAAAAAACGTGGTGTACGATTTTACACTTAAAATACGATGATTTTTTCGCAAGTTGGCAACACTGGTTGGCAGTTCTTTTTCTATTGTTATGGCATATTTTTGATACTCCACAAAACTTGTTAATTTATAAACCAACCTTCTTTATCTCTGTTATAAACCACAGAAACTGTGTTCCAAACAATGGCATCTTCTTTAGAAAATTTGGAAACACAACTCGAAATGTTTATTGAAAATGTCCGACAAATACATATTATAGTAAGTGATTTCCAACCACAAAGCCAGAATGTATTAAACCAAAAATTGTATGTACACTGAAATATTTATTTAAAAAACTTGTTTTTTATTGCTTTTACTTTTAGGCAAGCATTAGTCCATGGTTTACAAGAAGTTGATAAACTAAAATCACAAGTACAGGACGTGGCTGTACCACTTGAAGTTTTTGAGTAAGTTTACAAAATCACTTCTTAAGGATATTCTATTTTTTTTACTTTATAGTTATATTGACCAAGGAAGAAACCCACAGCTATACACAAAAGACTGCATTGAGAAAGCTTTGGCGAAAAATGAACAGGTCAAAGGAAAAATTGATGCTTACAGGAAATTTAAGGCAAACATGTTGGTTGAACTAAATAGAACTTTCCCAGCTGAACTAAATAAGTACAGGGCTCTTCGAGGGGATGAATAAAATTTTAGGTTGTAAGATGTGTATGATTGTTTATTTTATAAGGGTATAGTTATATAAGTTTGTTGTAATTTTAAGTATATCTGAATATTTGAAAGTAATTTGTTTTTGTTTAGAACCTTTAGTAACTTTTTGAATGTTTCCATAATTTTCGTTAATTCTTTAATTTAAATTTCTCTAAATTTTAATAGAACAAAAAAATTAACCATAGAAATAACTGGACATGCAGAATATATAGACAGGATAGTCGACTTCCTATACTCGACCAGGTACAAAAACGTGTATAGATTCCGAGCGGTAGGCGTGGTTTATTTTTTGACTGACCAATCAAATACCGTTTAATTTTATGTTTGTGGTAAAAAGAACACCTCTATTGGAAAGAAAAGAGACGAGAAAGGACCGCCCACCACTAGGAATCTATACGGCCAACGAAGTTGACTATCCTGACATATGGTACATTTTATGTCTTTAGACAAAATGATTGTGTTGAAAAACTGAACCGAATTGTTAACAGTTTCATGTATAATTTAATCATAAATAAGATGATTCTAAATAAAAGACTGGATATTTGTTTATTTAGGTACTAAATAAAATAAATAGATTTAACCTTAAATCAATAATTTTTTTTTACTCCTATTACGGAATATGACCGTTTAAATTATCCTTTTTAATGTGGAATGACATAATATAACATATATTATATTCCTTAAAATATTCGCTGTGGCTCCCGTCCCGAGGCGGGACTTAAGTTCAGTCCCGATTGACGTCATAATTTTAAGATTTGTTATGTTATAATAAAATAATAATAATAATAATAAATTGTAACTGTATACATGTTAAGGGCACGTTAGTTACGTCATAAAACCAAACCAACCCAAACTCAACAACACAACCCAACCGACCCCGCCCCATTGGGCCCCCCCCCGCCCCATTGAGCAAAAAACCCAACTAAAATGGGCAAATTTATGTTACGATAAAAATAAAACACTTTTTAACAAAGAAACAACAAATTTATAAAATAAAAAAAAAATAAAAAAAGTTTGACAACTTCTAGTAGAATCGAACCCGGCACCTCTCGCATGCCAAGCGACCGCCCTACCATCTAAGCCATCCAGCTTGACACCAATTATAAAAGCTCGGGGAATAAAAACGGATTTACAGTGTGTGACGTCTGTCGGGATCGAAGTTAAGTCCCGCCTCGGGACGGGAGCCACATCGTAAAATATTACCGAATGAATTATTTTATCATTGGATGACGGTATAAACACCGGTGGCCACATCTCTGTGTTTAATATCTAACAAATTTTTGACCAATCAAACCTCACTTTCTCACAATTAAATTATTTTTCCATGGTATTTTTTAGAAATGTATTAAAAGTATAGTCTGAAACACGTTTGGAATTGCAAATTCCGCTCTCGTGAAACCGTCAAACATTTTACTTGGAATATGCCGTATTCCAAACTTGTTACAAAATATACCTATTAGGTAGTACCTATATTCTGTAACAAGTTTGGAATACGGCATACCTAATAGGTACTAACCCAGGCTCTTTATTCTCGTCATTGTATTTTATAAAATACTTATAATATATTATAAGAAACACACAATAAACAGTTGTCTCTTTGATGTTATGACAATGACATTTTGGTTGTTATTCAACACTTCACTTTAATACACGCGTACTCTTTTTATTGTTTAACTCAATGCTCTTGTGTTAATATGTCCATTAGACTGGGCCAAAAAAATCAACTATTTTTTTTTTCAAAAGTATATCGAAAATATGGTTTGGTGTGACAAAAAAAAATATTGTGAAAGTTTCAGTCCATAATATTAATATTAAGAGGTCTATCATCGCAATTTTAATTTTTTTTCCTCAGCAAGTTTTTGTCTCAGAACTCCCAAAATTGACCCGAAAATATTTTTTGAAGAAAATTGAATTCTTTACAAAAAAGGTTAAAACGAAATTTTCTGTCAGATGAACCGTTTCCTTAAAATCATGCCTTAAAAATTGTTATAGTTTTACATTTTGATCTTTTAACTTTGGAATTTTGTATTTCATGTAAAAATCAGTACCCAGAAAAAAAGCGATGAATATTCTTATGGGAAATCAAATGCTTTATAAAAAAAGCCTCTTAACATTTTTGGCTAAATTCACTCAATCAAAAGTTATTCAAGCTTAAATTTGAAGTCAAAACGAAATTTTAACCCTGAATAACTTTTGAAGAGGCTTTTTTTGTAAAGCATTTAATTTTCCATAAAAATATTTATTGTTTTTTTTATGGGTACCTACTGATTTTAACATTAATTACAAAATTCCAATTTAAAAGATCCAAATTTAAAACTATACCAATTTTTAAGGCATGATTTTAAGGAAACGGTTCATCTGACGGAAAATTTCACTTTAACCTTTTTTGTAGAGCAATTTTCTTCAAAAAATGTTTTCTAGTCAATTTTGTTAAACTCAATGGTTTGGAAGTTCTGAGACAAAAACTTGCTGAGGAAAAAAATTAAAATTGCGATGATAGACCTCTTAATATTAATATTATGGACTCAAACTTTCACCCCAAATCATATTTTCGACATAGGTAGTACTTTTCAAAAAAAAAAATAGTTAATTTTTTTGGCCCAGTCTAATGTCCATAGACGAATAAATCATAAAAAATCTACAAATTATAGAAAAATATGTACCATGTAATAGGTATGTATCTTTTATTAAGCTATTTGTATCTTTTATTAAGCTAAATTAATATCCTCTATCACTGGAAGTTATAACCAAATAAATTTTAACACTTACATTTAAGTTTAGACTAAAATTGCAATCTAAATCACTATGCAGTAAGAAAACTGGTATGAATTTTTATGTTAACATTCTTTATAATATAAACTTACAAAAAATTAAATGCAATGGATTTTGTTTAATTTTTATTTTCAGTCACCAACTAAACTTTTATTATTAGATTAATTACCTTCCTTTAAATTTTATTTTCCATCAAAGATTACCTTTTTTAATTATTTTTTATTTGTATTAAAAATTAAACAACTCATAAGTATAAAAATATCTACAACAGAAAATACTTATATGGGATAAAATTAATGTAACTAAAAGTAAAACCCCCAAGCATTGTATGAAATTTTGTCAAAACACAAATAAGCAAATTTTTAAAGCAATATGTTAATAAAATGCACACATTTAAAATGAATAATGATTTACTTACAAAAATTATTATACATTCCCATTTATATTAAAATCCATTAAATAATGTGTTAATAAAAATAATAACATGATTGAAAAATGTTTAATTCTTTTAATTTTATGTGGAGCTTATACAAAAAATCCTTAAATTAACTTCAGAATTCTTGGTTACCCCAACGAATCTGTAAAAATACCGTATTAACAACAGCTTATACTAAAAACGTTAGTATAACTTTACATCCGCTTTGGCTTTCAGTTTTCTGTCGATTAATCCACATAAAGCCTCCGACCTGACCGATAAAGAATCAATTTTTTCAATGAGTTGTTGGTAGGGAGACAAAGGTTGAGCCCCCATGACAACATGGCCCAGTTTAGAATCGATTTTGGCGTCCAAACGGGCATTTCTGATTAGGTTTACAATCCAGCATTCAGCTTCGTCTGGGTTCATGTTGAGTTTTTCTGCCAACATTCCTATACTAATGCATTGGTGGATGCGACAGAAGGTCTCGAAAATCATAAGACGTGCATTTTCAACGAATTCGTCCAAACAGGAAATCAAGAAAAAGTCATTGTGTAAAACTGTCTGGCATTCGTGCAATTTTTGCCTGGCCCCATCAAAATCAAAGTTCACATACAAATGTTCCAAGAACTCAGTAATAGGGTCCCTGTAAGTATAACTCTCCTGTTGGATTACCTTAACCAAATCTTTCAAAGCTGATCTTCTGCCTCTATTAATAATAACAGCAGTTGCCAAGTATCTCAATATATGGGGGCACATAGTTTGGATGGCATTCAAGTAATGTGGTCTGTATAAAAACATTTCAATAATGAGCTCTCTACCCATGGCATGGTTGAAAAATACAAACAACGACCAGTGAATCAGCCAAGTTCTTTGCTGAAGCAATTGCAAACTGTTTCCCCCAAACTGATTGGGGCTAGAGTCAATGTATTCTCTCAGCTTGTTTAAATCTTCCAAAGCAGAATCCCAATTTTGGATCAAAATTTCGGAAGCGAATTTACCCCACAATGAGCTCAAGTAGTTTTTGTCATTGGCAGGGAGAACCAACATGCAGAAATACAAATAGGATGTGGACACTGAGTAGTTACCACATTCATATCTGTATTTGGCCAGTTTGTGCATACTATCAATCATGTCCAGCTCAAACTAAAACAACAAAATATTGATAAACATTAAAATGGCAGTGATAATCTTGGTAGGATTCAGATTCATTGTTTTTTTTAAACTAAGCTAATGTTGTTGAGTGATCTAAGCACATAAATTGTTTACAGGATTTGCATTAGTATTTTGAATACCTGGGTGTAACTGTAACAAACTTAGATAGATGAATGCAAAGACTCAAACTTTTTTTCGCAATCCCTTAATTCAAAGAAATATTCGCTCGCAATCCCTATTAAAAATGCCCTATAGAACCCATATTGATCCAGATATGGAAACTAATATGGATTTATATGGTTCTATAATATTATGTCATATATATGGAATGACCTGGTTTACACTTTGGAATCTATATGGTTTAATATGGAATTTCATTTTAAAATGTACAACTTAGGGATTTTTATATGGATTTATCTTGTTTCTGTTTTATGTGTCTTTCCATATAGGTTTCCCTATATGGTTGAATAGGGAATTCCATTTTAAAATGTATATATATTTAAACGAAAATGGCATATTAAACCATATAGATTCCCCTATATGGTTAAGTATGGATCTATATGGTAATAATTTTTTCATACACAAACCATATTGGGCCAGACAGAGCTCCAAAATGGTTCAATCTGAATGTATATGGCAATCCATATAGAATTCACTTTTCTATATGGTTTTCCATGTATGGAATTCTGGTTCAATAGTGCAATGCCTGTTTCAAATTCCTATATTGAACCAGATAGAACATATAGATTTATATTTTGTGTTTCTATATGGCATTTTTAATAGGGATCTCTCAGATCATATGCATCCAACAAAGGGTTAATATTACCCTGTTTTCAACCCTGTGTTTTATATTACATGATGGGTCATACCACATTTAAAGGGTCCTTGTTTCCGAGAGATCTATTTAAGAAATACTAACAAATAGTTTTATAATTTTTAAAATTTAAACCCTTAAGTAAAAAAAAAAATATCACTTAAGTAATGGCAAAAATGGCAAACTAACACCATACCAGGAATATTTTAGTATGCAAAAATTTAGAGAAGGATAAGCCATTTTTATGCTTTATCCTAACCGCTCTAAAGTCCTCGAGTATTTTTAAAAGTGCTCGATATTTGATTTTCGCGCCAAAACTGAAAAGCGGGAATTAAATGTTTATTTATGAGCGCTTGGGCATCTCTATGAAAATTACAAAAAATCTTCCTGACAAGTAGTTTTGAGTTTTTAACCTTTTAAGTAAAAAAATTTGGTAACATACTGTGCAAAATAAAGAAGGTTGATAGATGTATTTGGTTTGGTGCAAATTTTAACCTTTTAGACATAAAATAAAAATAAAATTTAATTTTAAAAACCATACAATTGAAAACTACCTGTCAACAAAAGCATTATTTTGATTTAAATACTTGTTTACCTAATTAGTGCGAAAAGTGCTACTTTTCGTTACGCGACTGCCGTTCAGTCGAATACGGAAAATACACTTTCCGCGCGTGTTAGGTACAACATTTTTTCTTCAAGCAAGGGAATCTTGCAATTTTCTTAATCAGTCCATTTTTCTACAAATATTTATATTACATATTTTGTCAATAATTGATTCAAAATCCATATTAATTTAATATTTTATTTATCCTCTCTGAAAATTTAGTATAATTTTGAGTTTAAAAAAATTCATTTTGTTTAAAAATTTAATTCAATTTTGTTTATAATAAGTGGTTATATTATAAAGGTTATATTTTTGCCTATACAAAATTAATATTCTGTTGTTTTGTTGGTAAATATTTTGTCTAATTTTAAAGAAAATAGTATTTTTTTAATTGTAGATTGGGCAAAATTAAAATTTAAAAATATTCTTCTGCAAACTAATGAAGTATACAAAAATAAATATCAGAATAAAAATTATATCCAACATCACTACCTAATTTATAATACAGCCATTTCACATTACTCAGCAATAGTGTCCATAACAATAAAAAATTGTGGAAAAAGCAACTGTAATTAAATTAAATACTATTAAAATAGTTACTATGGCAAGCATAATGATTACAGTAGATTTAAAGCACAATTTTTATTTATTATGGATGCTACAAAAATTGCAGAGTAATCTGGAATGGCTGAATAGCAAAATACACACCTTGTAATCATTTGATAAAAAGTTAATCAAGGTTTTAGAGTCTCTCATGTTTTCCATGGTTTTCATGACCTCATCATCAGCCATAATTTGCAAAATAGGCTCAACTTCCTGGTGCAATTCCTGCAACTGAGACAATACATGAGCACGTCTCTGTTTTAGTTCCTCGGGCACTTCTTCACTTGGGTACAACTGTTTCCTGATGTCAATAGCGTAATCTATCATGTTGGTTTTACTCAGAATGTCCAGTTTAGCTTTAAGTAACTCGGTTTCATCGTATATCTGCAATAAATATGTTGTAATTCTCGATCCTAACCTATATATTTTGCGGTTCTTACCTCTTTCGCAGATAAAAACTCCAGCAGTGGGAAAACAAGATGCCGGTCGAGGTATTGCCCCATTTTCGATGTTAAATCGAACTTTGCCATGTTGAATTAATATTAACTTAACACTAAATAATTAAAATAGCGTGTTTGACACACGTCCAATTTGGTGACAATTGGACAAGAAAAGGGAACTTTAGTTTCTTTTGTTGGCAGTTTTGAACTACATTACCAACGTAAGGAAAAGTAAACCACTTTTATTTTTACACAAAAAATATTTATTTTAACGCCTAAATTTATAAAGAACACATTTTACAACTTAATTTGACGACTGTCCTATGTATTTGTCGATTGACTCATATTTCCACTTGGTTTCCTTGAGAAAGTCCAGTTCTTTTCTCATATTCTTTAATCTGGTTTGGTGCATATCTTGCAGACTGTTTGTTGCATTAGTTCGTAGAACTTCATAAAATCTTGTATTCTTTATAATGGCTAAAGATGCATCGTCAGTCTTTGCTTCTGGAGATTGGGGAAACAACACCACAGAAAGTTCAGATAGCTTGGCCAAATTTGAAGACGACATTTTTAAAAAACACTGATATTTTTTTGTATTTAATGCATTTTAAACTGCAAAAACAACAAACGATTTGGGTCAATGTTTGACACAATAGGTATAATTTTTATTCCAGTTTATTGGCAACCATGATATCATGATAGGCAACTTAAAAAGCTTAATAGTGTATTTTTATTTATGTCTATTGGCAACTACTACGGTAACTATGTTGGCAACACTTAACTTTGACATTTAAAAGAACCTAAAAAATGCGCAATGTCAATACACATTTCAATTTACTGGTTTGTAATGGAAAGTTGAATAATTAGTGCAATAATAAGTGTCACTTATTATAAGTGAACCTTGTAAGGCGCGGAACTAGTAATAATGTCGAGTGTTAAAATATAAAATCAAATTTAATTCATCTTATAAAAAATCGAGAAACATGGAAATCAAACAGGCAGAGCAAAATCAAAATAGGATCTTTTTAGAGGAAACGTTTTATGTGTTAAGTAAAAAGAATTGTGTATTTCGTGTAAGGCTGACAAAAGAGGGACTATGTTTAATCAAAGAAAGTGAGAATACTGTTAAGGAATCATTAATTCCAATTAGAGATATCATAGGATGTAGGTGTTTGAGGAGCAAAAAACAAACTAATAGTTGTGCTTGCCAAAATCTTCCTCGTTCAAATAGTCTTCAAGTGGTTGAGGACACCTCTGGGGATTTAGATGACACAGATGTTAGTGCCTATTTGTATATTTATGCATACATATTTCCAGGAAATAAGGGCTCAGCTAGGAAAAGAGAGAGAACAATAATAACATTAAGGTTTAGATCTTTTGATAAGTATGAGGAAAATCACAAAGAAGCCCAGAGATGGAGGACCGTTATAAAAAAATTAACAAAGGGGGATGAGGTATCCATTACTAATATTCATGATTTCTCACTTAGCCACAAGCACAAAGAAACCAGAAAGTTGCTGGTTTTATGTAATCCAAAAAGTGGTCCTGGAAAGGGAAAACACATATTTCAGCAGAAAGTGGTTCCTGTATTACAAGAAGCCGAAATTCCATATGATCTTCATATTACTAAACATGCAAATTTTGCCAGGGAGTTTGTCAGGACATCCAATTTATTTCAGTGGACAGGAATTGTTTTGGTAAGGCATGGTTTAATTGTGCATGTAATGTGTGAAATTGTTTTCAATTGCATTACCTAATAAAATATAGTTATTATAGCAAACCAAAATAATTATAGATAACATATGTTAATATATATTATTCAAGGAGAAATTACAAATTTAATCCTTGTTTTATGGTTCATCTGCCACACAGAGCTGTTCTACATTATAACAAAATTAAAAGTTTTATCATTATAATAGAATAAATTTTCATTATGAAACATTAAATAAGGAATATTTGCATTATGAGAAATTTAATAGCTTTGTTAACTTATCTGATAAAATAATAATGTAATTTTTTAATCAATTATAGAATTATAATTTATAATTTTAAAAATTAAATCTTGTTTGACTTATAATATAGGTAATGTTTTGAAATTTAAAGATCAAGTCATAACAATTTATTAAATAATATTAAGGTTCTAAATTTAAGTTATAAATAATAAATATATTTAATTATTGTATTGATGGCAAAACATTAATCATTTGATTGATCTTTTAACCATGATTTAAATAAAAAATTAATTATTAAATCAATTTGGTAGAGAACATGTGAAATACCTTTCTTATAAAATCTCTTTTATATATTGTTAAAACTCTTTTATTGTTTAAATTTTGTTTATCTTGTAACAATATTATTGTTGTAGTTTAAAAAAAAATATTGTTGAGTTTATATGGCATTTTAAATATGTTTTTGTTCTTACTTTTATCGTATTTTACAAAAATAAATATTTTATTTCTGTTGTTAAATTTAAATTTAAAAAAAAATAGGTATATGATTAAAGTTTATCATACTTATTAGTGAGAAGTTGACTAATAAATTTGTCCTCATAGAAGGTCAAAAGTCTATCAAAAATCATTTGAACTTTTACTAGACTTTTACAGGCTTTTTTGTTTTAACAAAAAAGTCTGTTTTAAAACATTTTTTTTCAAAAAATAATTCAACAAAAAACAACCCTTAATGGAGGCGTTCATTGACGCAATTATTTAATATAATTTTTTATTATAATCTTATTTTATTTATTATTTTAAAATGCTAATGTGTTTTTTACACTGATTAAAACGTGACAAATCTTTATCATATTTTCATAATAATGATTTATAAAGAAAATAATTATTTATTGCTGCAAATTATTAATGTTTAATATTTACGTAAGTTAAAAAACCCAAATAAAACATGTTTTATAAAATCTTGCGGTTCTTAATGACGTCAATACCTACTTAATTGTATCGAATTATTTTTTACCAGCTTGGTTGTTAATATTAAACTTTCAAGGTAAATAAACAATGGTATTTACGCTGCTTTCATGGTAATAAATTAAGGAAAACAACAATTTCATGATATAGGTATTACATGCATTTTAATGCATGTTTAACAATTGGACAAGGATAATTGTGTATTTTTTATATAAAAAACAATAATTGAAATATGTTTTACAGCCATTTCGCCCACAATGTCTCACTTTTATTTTCTTGTGTAGTTTGGCTTACTAAACGCGAAAATCACAATTAAAGTTTTTTCATGGATGCGTTTTCGAGAAATGAATTTTCAATTGTTTTTTTTTTTAATTTTCTGAGGTGTTTTGACGTTTTAGAGTATACTTCGAGTTCTAATTGATCGATTTGACCAAACAAGCACTTAAATCAAAGGTAATTGAGCAACAATTTCTCTTGTATAGTTTTGGTATCGGCTCAGTAGTTCGATACTGGCGATTTTATGAAGTTGAAAAAGTCCTTTTATTTTACAAAAATCGAGGTCGAAAATTTACATATCTTTCTGGGATAGAAATCGAAAAGATTAGTCCAGTTTGATTTATTATACTTAAAGGAAAAAAATAGGCTGCTGTTGATAAAAATCCATGGATAAATGGCAAAGTTATGGGAAAGATAGAAATCGAAAAGATGAGTCCAGTTTGATTTATTTTACGTATAGGTTATATGTACTTAAAGGAAAAAATAGGCTGCTGTTGATAAAAATCCATGGATAAATGGCGAAGTTATGAATTTTTCAGTGAAAGACCAAAATTCAGTTTTTCGAGAATTTTTACGTTTTTTCTTTATTTTATTGAATTATATAAAATTTCATATTGAACATTGATTTTTATTTTAAACATTAAATATTGAAATTAAATTATATATTGAATATTGAACAATAAATATTGAAGATATTGAAAGTGTTATTTTGTTGTAATAAGCATAGGTTTAAAAAAATTCTGGCTCCTTCTTCTGAAATATCAAAAAATAGCAGTAAAATGTCACTATGCCAACACGAGAAACAAAAGAATTCAGGTTTGCGGAGTCAAGTCAAATTTAAATTTTGAATAATGTTTTCTGTGATTATTTCCCTCATTATAATATGAACCAATTAAAAGCCTTGAATTTTCGAATAAATTTCGTTTAAATAAGCGATTAAATCACTGGAACTATTTAACAGCGATTAAATTTTAGCCTCCATATTGGATTTTTGTTTACGATTTTATGGTGTTATTTACAAGTTTTAACAAACATTTTTTAAAAAACAATAAAAAATAAGTTGTCTATTTTACGAAATATCAATTATTACTTATTACATACCTTAAATTAATCAATTTAATTCGAGAAATAATCTAGACGTATATCACTCAACCTATAAATTTAATCTGTCAAACTATGCTCAGTAAGTTTTTTATTTGATTTTTATTTTTGGAAAATAGTTTCATGCAAAATAATTAAAAATAAAACCCCTCGACCGCTACGCGGTCTCGTGATTTTATTAAATTATTTTGCATTCAACATTTTCCAACAAAAACCAAACAAAAAACTACTGAGCCTAGTTTAACCGATTAAATTCATAGTTCTCGTGATATAATATATGAATAAAGTACGTAATAAACTCAAAAATTTCCAATTATTCACTTTAATTAGGTTTTCATTAAAGAATAAACATATTACAAAATAAAAGAAAAAAAATAAAATAAAAATCGTCCAAAAGCTGAATTTTGTTCTACCCCTAAAAAATTCATAAATTTGTTCATGTATTTTTATGAACATTAGCTTGTTTTTTTTTGTAAAAATGTGAGCTTGACGAAAAAAATTCAAACTGGAGTTATCTGTTTGATTGAAACCTTTCCCAGGACGATTTGTAAATTTTCGACTTCAATTTTTGCCATAAAAACGATTTTTTTAAGTTATTAAAATCGCTAGCGGCAAAATAATAAAGTAAAATAAAGTTTTAGAGGGCTCAAATACCTTCAATTTAAGGGCTTGTTTGACCAAATCGATCAATTAGATTTCAAGCTATATGGTGGCAGAATTTTTTTTCGATTTTGTAAACTAGTGTAATTGTATTCAATCCATGACAATCAATTAAAGGTTGATAATTGAGGGGCTTGGAAGTAAAACGGTTCAAGTGCACTTTTTTAAATAAATGGTCTAAGTGCAGAATATCACACCTAAAGAATATTCTAACTTAGTGGTAAAATTATATAAGTACATTTTACATTCTCTGGCGCCATTTCTTATCGTCTTTAAAAACCTGTCAAAATATTTTAAAATATATCTTTGGTAAAACGATTTAAGTGCACCTTTTACTGCTAAACATAGGCTATTATCTATGCTGCTAAAGCCTTGACAAGTATTTTAAAACAGACCATAGCATTGAGCCAAAAAAATCCAATTTAGATCAACCCCAACCAGGACCAGCTAATTCAGATGAAGAAAACGTTGTATTAGATTCTTATTATGAATAATACTTTTTGTTATAAAACTTACCCAAATTTTAAAAAATAAAGTTTTGTTCTAGTACAGTAATTGCACTTAAATCATTTTACCACTAAATTTTGTCTTACATGCATGACGATTCAAGTACATTTTTGTAAAAAAAAAATAACAAAAAAGTGAAATTAAAATATTCCTTTTTCTTTATAATCCTTTTTTGTCTTTAAAACAAAACTAAAATATTTACACAGTTTTTTAAACTCTTTTCTAGAATTTTAAAATTCAAGTTCAACTTTAACTACCACTACAGAACTAACAAAAATGCACTTAAACCCTTTTACTTCTAGGCCCCTCAATTATTTTATCTCAAAACAGCTGTATCTATCAACTAAAAAATTATTTATAGGTAGGTGGCGATGGGATAATGTTCGAGGTGATCAACGGCATATTCGAGCGCTGCGATTGGTCGGAAGTGATCCGTTCGATACCGATCGGAATTGTTCCTGGCGGGTCGGGCAACGGACTTGCACGAAGCATAGCGCATTACTGCAACGAGCCGTACATCGGCACCCCCACCCTGCCGTCTGCGCTGGCCGCGGTGCGCACCAATCACACCACCATGGACCTCGTGAGAATAGAGACGACGTCGCAGATTATGTTCTCGTTTTTGAGCGTCGGGTGGGGGCTGCTGTCCGACATCGACATCGAGAGCGAGAGGTTGAGGATTTTGGGCGGGCAACGGTTTACCGTGTGGTCTTTGGCGAGGTTGATCGGTTTGAGGACGTACAATGGAAAGTTGTGGTATATACCGGCCGGTGCGCCGGTATCGCCGCCAAAATCAAACTTGAACAACACCAGTATGTCCAGCAATCTAGATCTACCCACCGAGGTGCATTTAGAGACGGATGCGGGCAGGCCTAGAGTCGATTCTTGGTACAGCGCCAACTCGAAAAAGAGCGCGTATTTCTCCGCGACAGGCAGCTCTTATCAATCGACGGCCGACAGCGGCGAACATCGCCCGAACGCCGACGAAAAGCCCCGAATGTTCGGGCCGGCGTCGCAGTTGCCGTGCCTTACGGCTCCCCTCCCCGCGTCCTGGAAGTGCATATCGGGCGGGTTTATCATGGTGCACGCCTCCTACCAAAGCCACCTCGGCGAAGATTGCTTATTCGCGCCGGAAGCCACTTTGAACGACGGAAGAATATGGCTGCTAATAGTGCGCGGAGGCGCGACGCGCTCTCAACTGCTTCACTTTTTGCTGGGGCTCAGTACGGGTGCGCATGCGTCGTCCCAAACCGAAGGCGACATGATCGAGTTGATACCGGTTACCGCGTTCAGGATTGAGCCCGATATGAGCGAAAAGGGTTACATGACCGTCGATGGCGAGCACGTGGAATACGGCCCAATTCAAGCCGAAATCTTCCCCGAATTGGGCCGGGTCATGATTCCCTGATCAGAACATTCCTTAGGTACCGTAAGCAATTTAAAAAAGAAATCGAAGGTTGTGATCTTGTCCACTTTAACGCCTCTTTTGATTAGGCTTGATAGCATTTAATTGCCGAGTTATTTAAAATTTCTTGTGTCAAACATTATAGTTATGTGTTCATTTAGACAATATTTTTTGTAAATATTTGGTAATTTTATTTTTACTATAAAACCAGTTCTAACATGACATGGGTTTTGAAGAAGAAAAAAAACGATTTAACAATAAAGATTTAAGTAGTAATAATAATATAGATGGGGCATTCCATACCAACTTGAACACTTACCCTTACTTTTAATTGATTGATTTTTTCACCTACCAAAAAAGTATGAATTAAAAAAAAACTCTTTATATTCCAAAAATTGGGCCTTTTTTCAAAATTTTGGTTTTTAAACGTACCTACTTTACATTAAAAAATATTCAAACCAATCTTCGACGTTTTGCTTTTAATTTTCGTAAAAAAATGATTGTCATTTTAATTTTTTTTTATTAGAAACCTCGTTAGAAACGAGACTTCTTTTGGAATGCCCCAGATATATCTCCTAAAAAAACTTATATATATTTTTGACATGTTGTACTGATTATAATAGATAAAAAAAATGATAAAATGATAAAATGATAAAAAAAAACTTTAAAACCCATGTAACCCATGTAGAGTTCTCAATTAACGGTTTTACCTTGTTGCTAACAAGAAGTAGGCGTACTTTTAACATCAGATTTTATCTGAATTATTTATATCAAGTTTTAAGTATAATAATATAAATTTTTTATCTTAAAAACATGCAAATATCAAATATATATATCAAAAATAAACATATGATATTGTGCTATATAAGTTTTAAACAGTTAAAAATTTTGCGCAATTTACTAAAATTTGCTTTAGCTAGAAAGTTTAAAATGGCTTAAACCATTCCAAATCTAGTTATTTATTTTTTAGTCTCATTTGACATTGTTAAAAATCAAAACTTCTGGTTTAAATTTTATAGATGTTGTAATTGAAAGTTAGATAGGAAATTCAAATTTTGTAAATATTTCCGCAAGGAAGAATATCGCAAGGCAGAATATCGTAAATGGTTTTATTCGACACACTTTACTTAAACCAAAAGTACTATTATTTATTGGATTTTTAATAAGTGTCTCCATGGGTAATTGATAAAACCCTTTGTAAAAATTGTTATGTCCTCTATATAGGTTTAAATAGATAACTCAATTCAGCTAGTCAATGTGATAAAATTGTTAATAATAATTATTATAAATACCTACTCATTGTGAATTTGTTTTACTCATAAATAGTGTTGTCAAAATGTTTCATAATGCTCAAATCCACTACATATAAAAAATTGTAATTTTGTCAAAGTATTTCATTGTAAAATTAATTAAGTTCTTTGGGCTGTGAATATGAAATGGCTAATAATAAAAAACGACAAAGGCACTTTATCACATTTAATTTGTAAATCATAAAATACACATACACAAAATTTTCAGGTACAAATTGCCCCATAATACAAAATATATTAAATCAAAATAAAATAAAACATTTTTTAATTATAATTCTTAAAAGTTATTATAGGTTTTGATGACCCACAGGGTGTGATAAAAACACAGGTCTGTGGATAAAAATATGGAATATAACTAGTTAAAACCATTATTGTATATTTTTCGTTTTAATAAAAAAATATGGTAATCCTCGTAATTATTTGAGTAGTGTAAAACGCGCTTAAAATAATAGAATAGATTGAGCTGCTCGCAGTTATTAATTAAAAACCAATAAGTATACCTATAGTAGGTATTTAAAATCTCAAAAAGCGGTGTCTCAAATGTCAATGATATCCTTTGCTCATCACTAATCAAAACATGTCCATAAAAATGTTGAGAAACGCGATACCGTAAACACGGGTGGCTTTAGCTCACTTTCAAACTTAAGCTTAAAATTTTTGTGGTTTTTAATAATAACATTAAATATTGTATACCAAAATTTGAGTCTTCATTTGCTCTTTCATAATAACTATGTTATAATATTACATAGGTCTGAGTTTCAAAAATAAAAATTAAAAACTGTTTGTGCAAAGTTACATTTGGTTGCGGGTAACTTTGTCTCACAGTGTATTTTCCGTATAAAATTAACTCTTTATTTTATTTTTATTAGACACATGTTAGCAGTGACATATATCTATTGCACGGGATTACCGATAAAAAAAAATAAAAAATCAACCTGTAGTTAACCAAGGATCATCATTCCAAAGGATTGGGCCTAATATAGAAATTTTAACGTGTTTATTTTTAAGACTTCTGCACTGATGCAATATAAACAATTTTAAAGTGTAATAAATCCCATATATTTCTTTAAAACACTGATTTTCCTGTTATATAAATTCAAAAGAATCGCTCAATTGACAGGTTTAGACAAACAAATTATAAATGTTAATTTTATCGAGTGCAAAAAGATTTTTCATAAAAAGGTTGGTCACCCGCGGGGTACCTACCTTTGATCCGTTCTTTAAATGCCACAGCTACAAAATTTCATAATGTAAGATTATTTTTTTGTTGCCCAATCCTGAATAGACCTGACATGTTATTGATTACATTTCAAAATAAAACTAATGATAAAAAATAGCATGGCAGAGCTGGCCTTATTCTTTCAAAGGATATTGTTGACTTTTGAGACAACCTGTATAATCCAGCCTGATTAAAAAGAAAAAACAAAAATGCGTTAAATCGTCCAATAAGAATTTGGTGGTAGATAGTGGTTCAAATGAATTATAAAAACTATTTAAATACCTATTATTATAATTATTATCTATAATAGATATCACGTTATCATTATAATAATGATAACGTGTTTTAAACAAAACATGCTGGTGTCTTTGTTAATATTTTTTATAACTAATGCTTTTTTAGGTAGCACTTTACATTTACCGAGACTACAGCCCCAAAATTTTCAATTTATTGGACTAAAATAACGCAAAATGTCTAAACATTTAAATTAAATAGACTGATGTGTAAGATAAAGATAAATTTTGCATTGCAAGTACATTTAATACCATTATGTTAAAAATTACATTATTCAAATTGCCTGCTCCACACCGCTAAAGTCCCATCTATAATAAAAATCACAAAAAATTTCAATTTCTCAATATTATGGATAAATGCTTTATTTTAACTTTTTAAAACCCAATTTTTCGGCCCCTTGCAGAAAAAAGGCTTTCTTCAGGTTTTTTTTCGAACTGAATAAAACATTGGTAAATTTTGCATTTTTTCCGAATTATCCGTTGCATCCATACGAGAATACTTATGTTTTGTGCGAGAATAAATGTAAATTCAATTTTTCTGACAATTTTTTTCCCTGCCATCTGTAAAAAGTGTACCAATTAGAGCGCTTTATTTGTCAATTTTAATTTTAAACAAACAAAATTAATTGTTGTGAATACAAGACTGATATGACAGGTTAAAGGTACAAATGTGGCAAGCTAAAACTTCTGATATGGGGTGTTAAAGATTCTATTTGTTATTAAAAAAAATTTAATTGATAAGTTAAATAGGTATCTATTATGGCGGATTAAATGTGGCACGTATTTATTTAAGCACGGATATTCACAATACAATTTCTGACAGTCGCGACAAAATTCCCAAATATCCGACCTAATAAATGTACTTATCTATACATTACTGTATATATTATATTTACAAATAAATTCACTTGATTTTTTCTCTAACAAAAAAAAATTATTTGCCATGACATTAATTCGCAATTTTAACCTTATTAATTATACCTTAAAAGGATAAAACAGTTTGAAAAATTTGAAAAAGAAATAAAACAATTAATAGTGTACCTACTTACTCATTTAAATTTAACAACTATTAGATATTTTTATTCTTTTTCTACGTAGGTATAACAATACTAAATCTATAGGAATTATAATACACTGGGCGTCATTTTAAAATATGGCGTTAACTAAAGGATAATTCAAGCTTTAAAAAAATTGTACACATAGAAAACATTTGACACTTAAAAATGGTTTGTTAGGGTCCCATTAACTTGCCATTAATAATTATTATTGGCTTAAGCCATATGGAACTCTGTAATGAGCCATAATCAGATTTATGTGTTTGCTGTCCACAAAATTATTATTATATAAATTATTTTCAGAAAGTAAGAAATTAGTGTTAAACTGACAGATAGATAACTTCAATTATTTGAATTCAAATGTCAAAGTGGGACTTTAGGGTGTGGAGCCACATACTTCCACAGGAAGTATGTGTGTGGAGCATGGTACTTAAATCTGCAATACATATTTTTACTATATCTTACACATTATTTCGTCGGTCTCATGACATAAGGCCCTATCTCACAAAAACCGTTAAAAACCGTTATTACAACAATATGTTAATTATTGTGTTGAAATTTGGTATTTAGCAAAAAACTTACATGATTTGTTGTTCATAATTTCAAAAAATAAGATTGAAAATCGTTAAAGTTCTTTATGTTGTGTTGACTTACAGATATCAGTTTTCTTTAAATTGCTCTCCTGAAAAGTTAAAATCGAGATAGGGCCTTATGTCATAAGACCGACGATTTGTGAACATAATGACAAACCCTTTATAATTACACTGGACTCCAAAGCATGACAAACTATTTTCTTAGACTAGATTATTTAGGACCTAAATTATTTAAAAATTACATTCCTATTATTTTACATGAAAATTAGTATGTAAAAACATGTAAACCCTAAAAAGAGCTAAACTTTTATCCTCTTTTCTAGTAAAAAAATGTTACCATTATTTTTTCTTATTCTTCTGTGATTACCCTATGTAAAGCACTTAATAAATTATCTAAAACCTTACTATGCAATTTTAAATTTTTCTATATCACTCAGTAACTTAGACATATCATCATCAAGTTCCTCAGGTTTTTTAGTATCCAGAGATAGTTTCATTAATTGAAGATCACTTGTATTTAATTTATCAACTTGATCCAATCCTCTTGTGAAAAGTGAAAAAAGCAAATCAATTACCTAAAAAATACTTAGGTACATAAATATTAACAATTTAAGTATCAACTTTATACCTGTCTTATTTCTGATCTTAATTTCACCATTTCTATGGCCCCCTCCCTCCAACCTCTCTGTAGTATTGTAAGCTTACTCGAGGCCAACTCCAATGGGTTTCTCCCATGTAAATTAATTGATCTAACGTCAGCCTTGGCATTAATTAGCTTAGTAATTACAGCTAGATTGGGCAAACACACTGCTAAATGTAATGGGGTGTTTTGTATAACATCCCTTTTGTTGGGATCAGCCCCATAATTTAACAAAAGCTCCACTATGTCTGCATACCCCTTACTTACAGCTATATGCAAAGCACTTCGCAATTCTCTATCATTACTGTTTGGGTCTACCCCAGAATCCAGTAACTTTTCTACTTCTTGAGTGTTGTTATAATTTACAGCCTGTATTAGTTTAATACCTTGATCTATCGCGGTTTTATTTAATGTATAGGCCCGTTTAATAACTTTCAATTCGTCGGGATTTACTTTTTTTTTCGCCTTAAATTCCATATGCGTAATATGAGGCTTCCAGAGAGAAGGTTGCGTTTTTGATTGTGGTTCATCATCTTCTATTTCACTATTTGTACAAGACATTTACTTTTGTATTTCTTTAAATTACGAAAAATCTAACCCAACGATGTTTACAAAGATGTTTACAAATAGAAACTTGCTATGTTGCCAAATGTAGAACAAAAAAATATTATTTTATTTAAAAAAATACAAAGTGTGATATTAAATAAATTTATAAAAAAGTATTTTTAAAATGGTGCTTTAATTAATTTTAATTTCATTCGCATATTGGCTAAGCCAATTTGGCTTTGCCAATATTTGTTGGCAGTGTTGCCAAAATAAGAAAATTATTAAAATTATTTTCGTTTTTCTTATCTAAATTATCTAAAGAATTGATAAATATTGTTTACGATGTTTATGATCTGTGAGATAAAGTTGTGTATCTAATTTAAATTGCAGAATAAATTAATTAGGGCCGAATAATTTGCCGCTACTGCCCTGAAAATGCCGAAATTGCGTCTGTCAAATGTTAAAAGTCGTCGTAATACTGTTTAGGTTTATTTTATAATATTATATATAGGTGTAGTTGTAAATATAAAGAAATAAGATTAGTTTATTTTTTGTGTGTAATGTATAATGCAAATTAAGATGCAGCCCTTCACGGCATTTATGGTAAGTTTAATAACCTAGAAAATGTGACAATTAACAAAATATTCTTGTAGAACGTAGAAAGTACGCGTTCATACATCGACGATTTATATTCGCAAGATTCCAACAAATGTCTGGCTTCCATAGTTTGCATAAAGAACTCGGTAATCGGTTCAAATCGCCAAAAGGAAAGTGTTATTGCACAAGGAATCGTACCCAGACTGATTTACCTTTTGAAGGATAAGAACACAAAATTAGCGGTTAGGGTCGAAGCGGCAGTAACCATTGGATCTCTAGCAAAGGGTACAGAAGACCATATTGAATTGTTAATCAATTCGGGCACAACCCAAATTGTATTGGACCTTCTGGAAGAGGATGATCCTAGGCTTATTGATGCATGTTTGTGTTGTTTACGCACTTTATCTCATCAAAAACAAAGTGCTACAAAGTTTAATGTCAGGCATTTGCAGAAGTTGTTGAGTTTTGCAGGGTCACAGGAATCATTGCAAAAACAGGCTTGCGTTGCCAGCATTTTGAGCACAGCATGCAAATCGCCTGCAGAACAAAGTGCACTGTGTCAAGTGGGGGCACCTGCGGTTCTATCCGATTTACTGGCTATTGAGAATTGTTCTGTTAGGGTTCCTGTAATGTCATGTTTGGCATCTATGTGCTGGAATAATCAAGCTGTGGCCTCAGAGATTGTTAATACTCAATGTAAGGATATAAAGATACCAAATTACCTTGCGAATCTTATTTCAAGGGACAGACCGGTAGATATGCAATTGGAGGCGGCCAAATGTTTAACTAACCTTCACCGTGCTTATGCTATTTATCCATTTGACCCCATCATTACACATCGTACACTTCCATGTCTTGTTAGGCTATGTCAGGTAGTTAATATTGGATTTATGTATGAAAGTAATTGTAATTTTTTTTTATTTAAGCCTGAGCACACTGAAGCTCATAGAGCAGCAGCCGCGGAAACTTTGGCTTATTTAATTGAAGTTGACAGCAATTTTCAACAAATTGCTGCTATAAGTAATCAGTTAGTTAGTGCTTTAGTAGATCTACTTAAATGTCCAAGTATTGCAGCTAGACAAGCTTCTTTCAGGTAAGTTTACAAAATCCTAATTATTTTTAAGTTAATTTTTACTAAATCCAATTTTAGTCAACTTGTTTCTTAAAAATACACTAAATATCTTGGAATAAAATTATTATTTTTAAGGCTATAGCCTATATATATATATATATATATACATTTTAAAATATTAGTCCTGAACAAAAACTCGGTTTGCTAAAAATAATATCTATAATAAAAGAAATAATAATAAAGTAATACGATTACGATTGCGATTACGATTCACCTGCGATTATTATTGGTTTTGGCAAATATAGAATGCGATTATTTTACGGTTTTTAGTTAAATAATCTAGAGATGGGAAAATTCCCATTTGACGAAAATTCCCGGAAACTTTCCATCGAAAATTCCCGAAATTTTCCGAAAGTTTCAAAAAAAAAAATTTTATGCGAAAATATTTTTTTTTATGCTAGGGATTTGCAAAAATATATAACACATTAACTTTTTGTCAAATTTTATTAAGAAAAAAAAAATTAAACCTACAAAATAAAAATAAAATGTTTACTATTAGAAATTCACTGCTATTAAATCCTAGATATTACGTAAAAAAAATTAAAAGGGACAAAGTAACTAATATATAGGAATATTGAAAAGTAAAGTAAAAAATAATTCCAAACACTAGATTTTTTCATGGCATTGTGCTATGCCTATAAATAAACAACAAAAATATATAAATGATTTTAACTTTGTTTATTGTTTTTATTTTCTTTACCTTTTTTTATTCATTGAGGTTATGTAACATAACTTACATTATTTATACTTTTTCTTCTGTTCTGCTTTAAATTAACACACATTAAATTCTTATTCAAAGTTTCTTGGCCTTGTATCATGGCCTTAACGAAAATCAGCGGTTAAACAATGGACATTTAAATGAAAAAAAAACAAGGAAAGTTTCCAAGGAAAGTTTCCGGTAGCTTAAAAGAAACTTTCAAAATGAAAATAAATTCCCAATTGGAAACTTTCCAAAACGGAAAGTTTCCTTAAAATGGAAACTTTCCGATTCCCATCTCTAAAATAATCCATGAAACAAAAACGAAAAGTGACATCATTAATAAAAATACATAATTTAAAAATGCTATGCTTTTTAAATTAAAAATTAATAAAATGTTAATTTTGAATATTGATTTCAATATCAACTTAACTGAGTTTTTTTAATTTTTTGTATTTTTATAATAATAATAGATACCTATTAATGAATCTAGGTGCTTAAGCCATGGTAAATTAAACAATAAGAAATAGTAAGAACTTAAGTAATTGTTAAACATTAAATTCATGCAAAAACAAATATTTGTATTTTTTTAGAAATACTTGTTTGTTTTAGTTAAATTGTGTAATTTTAATACTTAAAAAAAAATATTTTTTTTATACAGGGTGCCTCCAACTATCCTTCTACTTCTACGTTTGAAGGGTATCTATAGTCGTCGCGGCGAATTTTTCAAATTGCGTCATCAATGTGAATTAAACCAAAAATGTTAGGAGACTTGTTTTGTAGAGCATTTGATTTCCCATGGGAAATGCATTTTTCCGGGTACTGATTTTTACATGAATTACAAAATTTCAAAGTTAAAAGATCAAATTGTAAAACTACCCATTTTTAAGGCATGATTGTAAGAACTCAAACTTTTACCATATTTTTTTTGTCACCCCAAACAATATTTTCGATATTCTTTACAAAAAAAAATAGTCGATTTTTTTGGCCCAGTCTACAATTACCATCCTATTAAAGTTAAATTAGAAAATTTAAAAAAAAATCGATTCTTTAAATATTTGAAGAAAAAAAACTAAAAACTCTCAAAACCAAAAATTGTAATAACATCCTTTTTTTTAGAAATTTTAAAGAAAAGTTAACATGTAAACATACACATTTATCTACATTTTTACCCAATTTCTTTGCTACATTTTTATCCAATTTCTTTGCTCAAATTCTTAGGAATAACGAAGTTAACGATTTTTGGTTTTGACAGGTTTTCAGTTTTTTCAAATTATTTGAGAACCGCTGATTTTTTTCAAATTTCAATTTAACAGGCTTGTAAATACGCAACTTTTCTCCTTGTATCCATATAAATAGAAAAAAATCATACATGGAAAGAAACTTGGTGCACCCTGTATACAGAGTGATTCACCTACTTATTCATTAGAAGTTTATGGAGAACTGAAAAAGATATTGATTTGAAATTTGGATAGCAATTATAAGGCAATGTAAACTATTTTTTAAAATTATTTTCAATGCGTTATCACTTCCGGTTAAACCGAAAGTGATATCAACTTTGGTTTTTCAAATGGAACCATAAGAATATTATTGCATTTTCGTTATATTTAAAAAAATAGTTAACATAGGCTTATAATTGCTAAACAAATTTCAAATCGATAGCTTTTTCCGTTCTCCATAAACTTCTAATGAATAATTTGGGCGAATTACCCTGTATTTTGTATTTTGTTTATCAATCGTAATCGTATATCAATAATCGTTGCATCATTAAAAAAGTAATAATAATAAAGTAAAATCTCCATTTTGACAGTTTTTCTTTAAAATGTAAAGTTTGGTGGTGTGTTCCATTGGCACCCACTACACAACCTTAAATGGTAATGTGGTTTGTATTCTCTTTAGTACTAACTGTAATTTAAGTTTTTTTTGTTTTAGAGTATTTGCTTCTCTAGGCGCGAACGACGAAGACATCAGGAAACGAATAATCGACACAAAATGCCTGATGGACTGCGTGGTGCAAGGATTAGTCGATGAAAATAAAGACATCAGGTTGGCCGCGGTCCGATGTCTTCACTCTTTGAGTCGGTCCGTTCACCAGCTGCGCACCACGTTTCAGGACCACTCCATCTGGCGACCACTGATGACACTTGTTGCAGGTAACAGAAATGATATAAATGTACTTTTCCTTTTTTAAGTTGCATTACGGTTTTTTTTGTGATTTGTAGGAGAAAATTACTTAGATTTTTTTGGATTTTAGAAGTATATTTTATGTAACTTCAATATTTGTTATTTTTTAATTTTAACAAATTGTAAACAAATAAAATACTTGTTATTGTTAAAAGTTATTCTTTTTCTATTGAGTTGAATCTTTAAAAATATAATATATGGTTGATTCTACAAAAGTTGAGCAACTTTTGACCTCATTTTCTTTATATAGTTTTCGGAAAAAATTAAACAGTATTTTGTTATGAGAACATACATAAAATAATAAATATACTGTTCCAGACCAGCCAGTCACTTTTTTAAACAGTTTCTGAAATATCTGTGTTTTCTAAATTTGAATGCAAGGGAAGTGTATACAAGGGTCCTAATTAAATACATAATTTATTGGAAAATATAAGATTTAGCAACAAAGATTATCGAATCTATGATAAAAAATTAAAAATACATTATTTAATGTTTTATAGTTTGTAGTGAAAATTTAAGATAAATTGAATATATTTTAAAATAAAATCATTCAAATATTTAATTCAGGAGTTGTGACACGCCAAGGTACAGTTGTATTCAATAAAAAAGCGTACAAGAATTAGAATGAGAGAAAACTGTCAAAATAATATTATTGCTTAAAACCGGCTTATCACTGACATAAGTCATTAAAATAATTACTATAGGTTATAAAGAGCATTGACGTCGTAGGTTAATTAAATAATATTACAAAAATTATTACCTTTTAATAATAAAAAAAACAAACATTAAAAAAAATTTAATATTTAGTCATGCATCCCTGTTTTTCTATTACTTGAGCCAATCTATTTGGGATGAACTGAATTAAATTTAATACAATATTTTGGATTAATATCTTCCCAGCAGTATAGTAGGTATAGTATAGTTGCATAGTTTCTCATAAATCCTCAGATATCCCAAAAAAGCAGCCTGAACCAACTTTTTGGTTTAGTAAATCTTCCTGTTCCCAGCGTTGCTTAATTTTTAATATAGATTTTTTATTTCTATTATACCACAGTACGAATTGACCATTCTTCTTCGATTCTTGATACTATTTGAGCCTTTTTAACTGAAGAGGCATTTTTATTTTCTACTGTCAGTTATAGTGACTTAAGTCAGTGGAAAGCCGGTTTTACGCAATAATGTTGACAGTTTTCTCGCATTCTAATTCTTGTACGCTTTTTTAATGAATACAACTGTACTGTTGTTTTGAATATATATTATGTTTTTTTACAAACGTGCTTTTAAAAAAAATATATTAAAATTGGGTAGACAAGTTAAAAAAACCTGGATCTTTTGTAATATACGGAAATATTTTCAAAAAATATTAAAATACCTACCTACTCTATTGACTGATGACATCAAGTTGTCCAACTTTTGTAGAATCACCCATATATGGATTTTTTAAGGTAATGAATTAATATTTTGATTCGGTCTCAATGGCCTTTAGCTTGATTAAAAGCTCATTAAGTTTCACAGTTTGGTTTAGAATCAAAAGTCCCAATAAAGGGATCAACTTTGTCTTCGATGGTGTGCGGATCTGGTTAATGAAAGAGTGTGAAAAATAGTGACGTATTTGACCCACGAAATACGATCGTATTTATTTATTTATAATATCCCTTTTAGCGAGGTCTTAAGGGATTTATCCAAAGAGTTTGGTGAATGTTTTAAGATTCCCTTTGACATACACGTTTTGTCTTATGGCAGATACTGGTTAGTAATGGTAGCTGGTCAGTAAGAGTCAATTTAAACTCAAGACAAATTCTCTCAAAAGAGAGAATAAAAAGTTCGGGAAGAAGAAGAAGAAGAATGCCCAAATAAATAGTGTCTGGGAGTTCCCATTCCTTAACTTGTTGACTGAGTATTTGGTAATTTTTCTTCTGGTTGTACTGTTTTTTTTTATTAACGACAAAGTTAAACACAAAAAAGGATATAATCTACACGCTCGAAGGCAGTTGCCAAGCAGCTTGGACAACCTCAAAGATGCTCCCTTGGAAAGGTTCCCTGGATATGACTTGGTTAGATTTGAAAGTATATGTGATAAGAAATTGACTTTCAAGATAATTTAGTATTATACTTTTTTTGATATTCTTTAGTATTTTTGGCACACTGGCTGAAAGATTTGTGCAGTTTTTTGCAAATTCAAGATGTCCATTCCATAAATTTAACTTATAGGGCATTTCAATAACATTGCTTACATTTTCATTTTCCATACTCACAGTACGGGTTTTCTGCTATAAAAAGTCCATGTTCGGATCTTCGTCGTATTATTGTTAAATGAGTATTTACAGGATGAAAAAATCTTTGCTCCACACGGTAAATTTCGTAATAAAAATTTAAAAAAAAACTTGAGACCCTTAAGGGCAAAAAAACGTAAAATATATGTAAAATTAACGTCAAAGGTTGTAGTGTGACGTATAAGAATCTTGTAAAATAAACGTCACATAAACGTCGCTGTGATGTGCCTATGTCCGGATCCTGGGCCTCGAATTAGCCATAACCGTTACGTGGATAAGGAGACGTAAAAATTGCGTTTTTAAATGGATGTAAAAATTACGTTTTTAAAAGGACGTAAAAATGTCATTTTAATATGGACGTATAGGTTTTGTTTCAACTTGTACGTATTAGTTACGTTTTTTTAAATAAAACTACCACTTTGGAAATATATTTTTTTTATTAAAATAAATTATAAAAATAAAACATTATATGAGTACCTACCGCCTAATTAATTTTCGGCCTCATTCTCATGTCCAAATTTGGCCAAAAAACGTTATGTGCGTAGCTTGGAGGTTTGGAACAATTCCTTCCTCTCTTTATCGAAATCACTTCATACTGGCTTCTAAAACAAACATTATTAGACATGGGACCCACACCAAATTTATAATAGTTTATATTGACATTAAATAAACAAGTTCGGCGCAAACAGAATTTAAATTGAAGTTTGCGAAAAAAAGTTAGTTTTTCCTGTCGCCTACCCTGCCTCCAGGCCCCCCTATTTGAGATCATTCAAATTAAAGTGGTGCAATTTATTATCTACTATAATTTATCGACAAATTTAAAATTTTATTCAAAAAATCCAAATATTACAGATTTTATTCGATTTTAAATTTTTATTATTTATTTTATTAAAATAAAAAAATATTTAAAATGGTATAAAAACTGTAATATTTGGATTTTTTAAATAAAATTTTAAATTTGTCGATAAATTATAGTAGATAATAAATTGCACCACTTTAATTTGAATTATCTCAAATAGGGGGGCCTGGAGGCAGGGTAGGCGACAGGAAAAACTAACTTTTTTTCGCAAACTTCAATTTAAATTCTGTTTACGCCGAACTTGTTTATTTAATGTCAATATAAACTATTATAAATTTGGTGTGGGTCCCATGTCTAATAACTGAGATATTGGTATACTTAAAATCCACCAGCCGCCACTGATGTGCGTAGCTTGGAGGTTTGGAACAATTCCTTCCTCTCTTTATCGAAATCACTTCATACTGGCTTCTAAAACAAACATTATTATCTAAGTAATTAGGTATATAAAACTTATAGGTATAACTTGCCTGTCGCTCGGCGCAAAATTTGTCTCCCATGTTCACTGGTGTATTAACTGAAAAATCAAATTGATTAAAAGACTTTTCTTTAAGTCTAACATGGCGATATTGGGACAATTAATTAAGTATATTATAACCGTATGGTTGCAAACAAATGATAAAGCCAACTTACCTAAACCGTTCAGTCTCGCCTATGGAAAAGAATGTTTTTTCTATCACACAGCAAAAAATGGCAACACACTGTGTTGAACACAGAAGAATGGCAGTCGCAACGCAAACAGAGTATGCCCTGTTACAGGGCCCCTTTTATACCGATATATCGACTGGAAACGAAATTATCCGAGTCCTTTTTTACGTAAATTTTACATAAAATATACGTTTCTTAATCTCACGATGCGATAATAATAAAATAATTATTATTCGGTAATATTAATTAATAAATCACTCTGGGATTTATAATAAGTCATTAAAATAATAATTGTATCTACCTACTTACATTGGTTTCTAAGTAAGTTAATATAAAATTATGAATTAAATTCGGTATTTAATTATCTAAGTATAAACTCAAATTTCCAACAAAAATGTAAATGTGGCATATATATTTTAATGTTCATCATTGGCAAACCTACCCCATTCATATTTATCATGTTATCATGTGTTACATTGGTGACGTAAAATGTACGTTGTGTTTTGCACCTAATACGCTAAAGTAAAATAAAAGGCATAGAGTGGACGGTATAGTGACGTGCCGACAGTACCGTTTATTTTTTAGCGTAATTTTTACGTAAATTGAACATCACTAAAAAACGTAGTTAATGTGCCTTAAAATTGACAATTTTTAAACGTCACTGTGACATCACCACATCCATAATGTTCAGTGGGTTTAATTCTAAAAATTTCCGGATTTGATCCGAGCGAGTTTTGTTGGTCGATGTATGCTTAAAGCACCTAACCACCTATTTTTGAACACGCAAAAACTACAGAGTAACTTTTCAAACGTCTTCTGTTTTTAATTTTGTTTGTGAGAAAGCAAGTTTTTTTTAGGGAAGTTTTCTTTGATTTCATTTTACCATATTATTTTCCATGATTCTATTATTTGTTTTGTCATTTCTGGTATTATTTCTAAATTATCTCATCAACTAAACCTTTTTTATAAGTCATCAAAATTGTTATACTCTGTAAAAATGATGGTATTTTGTAATTTATGGAATAACCACATTTTATACTAAGTTTGTAAACTAAAACAAACAAACAAACTAAATAAAAATGCAATACCTCTTTTACAGAAAAATCATATAAAAGGTTATAACCTATAGGTATATAAAATTTAGATCTTTCTGTAAGTATACAACTTTCATAATTTTTGTTCTTTGTGTATTTTACTTATAAATCGAAAAAAACAATTTTTTTTCTGAAATAAAGCATTAAAAAATCCAATTGTTAAAGTACCTATTTGTCCGGATAATATTTACTTGTAAAATTTAAAACATTGAATTTCTTTAACATGCGCAATAAATAAAAGACGGCTGTGGCGCCATCTATTATTCAAATTATATACTTTGACAAAAATTTGTTTTAATATTATTTTTAAAATCGCTTATTCTTCTTTTGATTTTTGTTGTCTTCTCAGAGGAGTATTGCGACCTATGTTCATCGCTTTGTATCTTAAATTATTAACTTATCTTATTAATTAAATCTTATTTGGCCTTTTATAAACGTAAACTGTATTGCCGACATAGTATAAAATAGGTTTTTATTTTATCAACTGTAAAATACTGGCAAAAGTATCCAATAGATGGCGCTAACTGTATTGTAAATAAATTTTGGACTTTTTGTAAGAATTAAATAGGTATTTTGAGAAATATAAAAGAATATGGCCGTTATCATCGTAAAAAAACTAAAACTTTCAGCTGTGAAACGCCTATGTTACAAACGAGTGTTTTTGAGAATAAATCCGGAAAATGTTCAAAAATATCGGAAAAAAACTGGCACGATTTGTTGTGTGTTTTTCGAGAAGAAATCATGGGTTTTTACCGGTTTCCCAATATAAAAAAGGGAAATTCAAATGAAGAAATAAATTGCCTACAGTCCCTGTAAATATAAATTGTACCTATTGGAAACAATAAATACACATTTTAGTAATGATTAACGTGAAAAGTTGTCTAAATTCAAACAGCATTTAGCGTTATTAAACGCGTTGATTAAGAAAGTCTCCACCATAGATAATATATCATCACTCAACGGTAGAATACCAATATCACAGATTATAAAGGTTACCAATATTGACCAATATTTTATGTATTATATATATAATATTTTGTTGCTATGAGTTCGTAAGTATATTTTGTTGTTAAAAATGCAGTTGAGGAGCGTTTATTCAAAAAGGGACATGTCCATTTTAGCGATTTTCAGAAATAAGTCAAAAGCAAAAGAATTCTGTTATTTTTGACTTGTTTCTGCAAATCGCTAAAATGGACATGTCCCTTTTTGAATAAACGGACTCAAATATAAAAATTTTTAGGTTGTGTTTGTGCAACAATTATTTTTTCACAGTGACTAGAGGCACGCTAAGTTAGCGATTGAAAATATTAAAGGCACGTTAGTTACGTCATAATTATAATCCGTTTTTGTTCCCCGAGCGTTTATTATTTGACAACAAGCTAGATAGCTCATATGGTACCGCCCCACGTAGGACGGTCGCTTGGCATGCGAGAGGTCCCGGGTTCGATACTAAGAAGTTGTCGAACTTTTTTTATTTTTTTATTTCATAAATTTGTTGTTTCTTTGTTAAACAGTGTTCGGTTGGGTTGGGTTGGGTTGGTTGGTTTGTTTTAGTTTTATCGTAACATAAAATCTACTAGAAGTTGTAGAACTTTTTTTATTTCATAAATTTGTTGTTCCTTTGTTAAAAAGTGTTTTATTTTTATCGTAACATAAATTTGCCCATTTTAGTTGGGTTTTTTGCTCAATGGGGCGGGGGGGGGGGCAATGGGGCGGGGTCGGTTGGGTTGTGTTGTTGAGTTTGGGATGGTTTGGGTTTATGACGTAACTAACGTGCCTTTAACATTTCAAATCGCGGCACGTTAGCGTGCCTCTATTCACAGCGTTATTTTTTACTAATTTCTTTAAAATGTCCAAACTTAAATATAAATTATATTAGATAAAGTTATCATTAGTTAATTCTGCATCAACAGATATACATATACATTGGATCCTTTGGCAAAACATGAAAATGCAACGATTTAGTTCTTGAATTTTATTTACAATTAAAAACACAATAATTCACCACGATCACTTAGATAAAATAGGTACTCACACAAGTTGCGTAACTATATAAGCATATAAGAGTTTCTTAATCAATGATATAAGGAATAATTAATCAAAATCGAGTACTATAGTTTATAAACCAAAGTTTTTTAGTTTTTACTTGCAACGCAAAATACAAATAACGCGCGCGATTTAGCTGTGCAATTGAACAAAATTTGTCGAGGAAGACTTCTGCCATCCTCTCTTTTGTGAAAAAACGACTTATTTATTAAAAATTGATGTGCAGTTGGTATGCTTTAAATGTATTGTTGTCATTTCTTGAATTCACACAATGTTATCAAACACCACCAGATGGCGCGCGCGTTGCGAAAACCCGATGCCTCTTTAGCGTATTGGTTTAAATTATGTTTACAGCCTAGGACATACATTGAATACTTTGGTAGTGATCACTACTAGTGAAAATATATAAATTTACAAAGCAGCATGCTTTAAGCAGCTTTAAATGAATTAATTTAGTGATTTAATTTGTGAATCATATAAAATTTTCCCCAGTACTGAAGCTCTGAAATTCATTGAACCTGTTTTTATGTGTATTAATATTAACAATACTGTACCCATATACTGTGTCCTGTTTTTAAACAAAAATATCCTGGTATTTCTACCTTTAAATCCTGGTTTTCAGAATTTGGGGATGGCAAGGGTAGTTTATAGAATTTTAAATAATATTCAATCTGAGATATTTTGTTACAATTTAATTCTATTTTCGAAAAATCTTAGTAAAACGAAGAAGTGCTATATATATTTCGCTTAGTTTTGGAAATTTCAAAAATTAGCACAACAATCTGTTTGATTTTTTTAAGGAATTCTTAGTTTTTTATATTTTCCGGTGAAGAGTATTATAAAATAAAATGAAAACTTTATAGATAAAAAGTAAAACCATTCCAAAAAATAACACAATCTTTAAAATTATTTTCAAATTTTGAGTTTGTATTTTTTAAATTGTATTAAATTAGAATAAGTCCGACTTTTGTGACTTTTTTTAAATAAAAGTCGTGACTTTTTCCAACCCTGTTACAAACCAAATTTGTTTCTAGGATCCCCTTCTGTGGAACTTTTAACAGCCGCATCTTCAGCTCTCTGCAATCTTTTGTTGGAGTTTTCACCGGCAAAAGAACCGATGCTGCAACAAGGCGTGGTCCAACTATTGGCCACTCTGACATCACGAACGGACCCCGCCCTGCGCCTTAACGGCGTATGGGCCCTGATGAATCTTGCGTTTCAAGCGGAACAACGAGTCAAAAATCAAATTCTAACCACGCTAGGGACGGATCAGATATTTCGATTGCTAGCGGACTCGGACACGAGAGTTTTGATGAAAACTTTGGGGTTGCTGCGCAATTTGGTGTCGCCCCGCACGCACGCGGACGCGATGATGGCCGAGCACGGCCCGCACGTCATGCAGGTAGGGTTGGGACAGTTGAAATTTTCAAATGAAAATTTCAACTTTGAAAGTTTCAAACTTGAAATATTTCATTTAGTTGGAAAAGTGAAATTTAAAAAATTTCAAATGAAATTTTCAATTCAAAAAGTTCAACATTGCCTGTGAAACTTTCAGAAATTTCATTGAAAGTTTCGCAATTTACTGATAATTTCGCATAAATTTCACATGCGGCCTCCCCTGGGACCTTTAATAATAATTTACAACAGATTCCGAATCGACCAATAAGAACGAGTTATCAAGCGTCTGGGCGTTTTTGTTTAGTTCGGCTTGGATTTGAATTCACTATAAGTGATTATTGTTACTTATAAGCATAAATTAATTTAAATAATTTAATTCAGTTACCAATTCAATCTGTTAATTAAATCAGACTTTTTTTTTAAGTCATGATTAATTTAAACTTTTACTTTTGCTATAATTGCATCGGAAAACGGATAAAAAATGCCTTTGGCTCATAAAATTTTGATGAAGTTTCTTCAATTTTTGTAAAATTTCAGTAAAATATATAAAAATAATAAATATATATAAATATAAAACAATGAAAGTGGCACAATCTCATTAGCTTACCAAAAAGTGCTATATCTCTCTGAGTTTTAGTAATTTTAAAAATATTTTTAAAGGAAATTTGTGGTAAACATAGGTATTTACTATTTATATTATTGGTGCAGGGGTCCACAGAGGGGTAGGAGATAAGAGAGGCAATTTGCCATGGTCACCGAGTGGGCTTATTTCAATATTAATACAGGGTGTTGTGTAATTAATGTTATATATTAAAATGGGTTGTTCCTTAGGGTACATAAAGAAGCACCTGAAACTTTTTTTTTCTAAATTCCAAAGTCTAAAAATAATTTATAATAACCTTTATCCTACCAAAAAGTACGCCACTGATCGACTAGGAACTTTAGGTTAATCTGGTGGATTTATTATGTTATGGTTGGTAACAACAGTATTTCCAAAATCTCTCAAAAAAGTTGACAAACATTGTTTAAATTTAGCTTAATTACAAAAATGACAAAATTAACAATGCAAATTGTCAATTTGGTGTTTTTATTAATTGTTGGTTATTTCATTTTTGTACTGAAGGTAAATTCAAACAAAATCTGCCAACTTTTATGACAGAATCTAGTGCATTTCTTTTAAATTTTAGGTTATGTTTTCAAATTGTAAATATCTTAACTAAGGGAAGTGCTTTTGGATTTATTTATACAAATTAAATGTTTAAAGTTTAACCTGTGAAGTGGTCCCAAATTCATCTGAGTAAACAGAGAAAAAAACTGATGAAAAAATTAATTTTGTGGTTATGGATTTCAAATTTCAAAGGTACTAAATTTTCTAATCATTGCTTAAGCTAATAGCTGGATCAGTAAATAAATACAGAAGGGTATTAGAGCTTTAAGGGCATACAACTTTTGTATTTATTGAGTTTTTATTTATTTTTTGCAAGAAAAATGTTTAGTAACAATTTTTTACATCTGGCAACGCATAGCTACTTTGTTGGTTGGTATCTATGTACTCACAAAATACTGGTGTGCAGAGATAAACAAGTGTGTAACCAGTGGCGTATCACAAAAAATATAAAAAACTTCTAATGCATATTTTTTCTTTATCTTTGGAAAAATGTTTTTTTAAATATTTTTCCTTTATTCCTTATATCAAAAGGTATTCAGTATTTTAATATATAACATTAATTATATAACACCCTGTATAATACACTTAAAGTGATTGAAATTTATTGAAAGTTTCAATAAATTTCATGAAATTTCAGACATTTAGGAAATTTTAATAAATTCCACAAATGTCTTGAAAATTTCAAGTGAAATTTCAAGTACAAGCAAAAAGTGAAATTTTCCCAACCCTACATGCAGGTCGTGGTCCTGGTACTCGAAGGCCCGCACTCGCCCGAAGTGAAGGAGCAAGCGCTGTGCATTCTGGCGAACATAGCCGACGGCGAGAAGGCGAAAGATCACATCATGTCGAACGAGGACGTCTTGAAGAAGTTGATCGACTACATGACGCACCCGGCGCCCTGTCTGCAGGAGGCCTCGGTGTTTTGCATCAACAATTTGACGCAGAACGGCGAACCCGGCGCGGAGGAAAGGCAGAACAAGTTGAAGGAGATGGGCGTCAAGAATGTTCTACAGCAAATACTGAGCACGGCCGATCCTGTGCTCGCCAACAGGCAAGTATTCAATGCAAATATTCCGCATTAATTTGGCTTTTGTTTGTGAAGTTTTTTACTTTTTAAGTGTAGTGTTTAAGTTAACAGAAACATTGATACATTAATTGCATAGATAAATTGAGGAGCATCCGTGCAAAACAGGCTATATAATAGTTATTTACGATATAAGTGGGATAAGAGCTTTATTAACGTACGCATGCGAAATTTGCCCAACGAGTGCGTAGCACGAGTTGGGCAATCGCAAAAGTACGTTAATAAAGCGTTATCACACGTATATTGTACAAATTTTTATCTACGCCTCTAAATGAAAAAATAAACGGTAATTATTTTTGACTAAGATTTAATTTAGGGTTATTTTGACATTTTGACATTTTTATTTGATTGGTTAAAAGCAGAGAAAAACGCGTGCGTTAATGAACTTCTTATCTCACTCAAAATGAGTGGGATAAGAAGTTCTTATCTCACTGGCGTAGATAAACTTTAATAAAATGTTGGGAAAATGGCAAAAACTCTCGGTTTCCTGGCCTTTACAGATAAAAGAAAAAGCAAACTTGAGTTTTGTGGGCTTTGTGGTACTTGATTTAAAAGACATACTTTAGTTTTCAAAAACTTTATATTAAGGCCAAAATTTCAAAAAATGTTTTGTATATAGCCGGTTTTGCTCAAAAACCGAATAAAATGTGAAAAAAAACCTAAATAAATTTAGTGCAAACATGAAAAAACAGAACAAATTTTAGTAGTAGCATCGACATATCCAAGCCACATGCTCATCATCATTATTATTTATTGGATATAGCCGGGTTTGCTATAAAAACGTGGATTTGACCGGTTTTGCTCCTAAAGCTACCTTTTAAATGTGATTTTAACATGGATATAGTCGGATTTAAACCGAATTATCTTGGTTGTCGAAATGAACCCAAAGATGCGAAATCAGAAAAAAAACAAAAACTGAATAAAATGGATTTAGCCGGTTTTGCACGGATGCTCCTCAATTGCGGATGATTCCATAAAGTGTTTTTAGATGACACATAAGATAATTAGTTACTTACAGACCGGATTATAAGCATATTTGCATGTGGATTTGCATATTGCCAGTGTAATGGGGTCGAGTAATGCAATTTTTTTAATGCATATTTGGAATGTACGCATACGAGTTTGTTATTAAAAACGCTTCGATTACCTTGAAGAGAGCGCGTGACGTAACGATGTTATATCAGATGTGTCCAGAATTACGACATCCAACATCCTAGAACGGTCTAGGTTATGTTAAATATTTTTCAAAGTACACTTAGCAGCAAAAGTATTTAATTACAAGTAAAAAATCAAATTTTGGATAAAAATACTTTAAAATTAAATCTTAGTTTACCTGTTCAGGGGTTTTTCGAGAAAATATCTTTAAAGCGCTTTTATTTAATAATAAAAAACGCTCGAAAAAACTTCTATAATTATAATTTATAATTTTTTTTAAGTAAATAAAAATATGCTGTTAACGACCGTATTTTTGTTAGTATACCATAAAAATTTTGTATAAATCAAACGAACAGTAACGAAGTTACAGCGCTTGAAAGTCAGTAAAAATGACCCCTTTTTGATTATTTTGCTAAAAAGTGGTCGATCTTCATTAGTGTTCGTTTGATTTATACAACTTTTTAGGGTATACTAACAAAAATACGGTCTTTCACAGCATATTTTTTAATAAATAAAAGGGCTTTAAAGATATTTTCTCGAAAAACCCCTATTTTTATCCAAAATTGTATAAAGATGAGTAAAGGCGTTTTAGAGTTTGATTTTTTTTACTTGTTATGCGATACTTTTTATGTGTAGTGTATTTAAATCATTTTAAAATCAAAGTAAAGTACATTCTGGGTCGTGCGGATTTTTTATTTTTGCATAAACTTCTATCGTAAATCTTGACACGCCTCAAGCTACCGAGTATATGGTTGTTTTTAGAGACTAATCTCTATAGTAGAGTGGTTTCACACTGATTCGCAAAGTGCGTAAAATTTTACTAATATCTGTTAATAATGTCTATCAATTTAAAGATGAGTCTCAAAATTAATTTCTAAAACTGAAAATTTGACCAAAGATGGATTTACGCACATGAAAGCTCACATACGCACACAGTTTTATGATCCCACCAGCTCACAATGAGTTGGGTTTAAAAAAAGGTTTTTTTTATCAAAAACGGGTTTTTTTTTTAGGTTTTATACTGGGTTTTTTAATTCTATACAGATTTTAATAAAAAAACCATTTAAAAAGAAATTCAAGTATTTTCACAGGAAAATCTGTATAAAAAAGAAGGTACGCTTATTTTTGCAGTCGTTTGTCAACTATAAAATGCCTAGGTTTATGTATTTTGATAAAATTATTCCACCTATGCATTTTATCAAGATACCTACATAAAAAATAAAATAAAATAATTTTTTTAAATTAGAATTAGAAATTTGAATGCATTAAAGCAGTTTTAGTTTGACAAGCGCTTTATGCGGATGTCCTTTTAAGTATAAGTCTTAACAACTTAACGAGTGTACTGATTTTAACTAAAGACTTGAGTTTTTTTTACATATACAAGAATGTATTGTATTGTTTTCTTTTTTTACAAAATGCAAAAATTTAAAATGAACCTATAGTAGAAATAAGAAAAATGAAATAAAAAAACACTTTTAAAAGTGTCCTGTGGGCTTTTTAAAGTGGTTTTCACCCCTGATCATACAATTGTGTGCGTATAAACTCGCATAAGTGATTTCACATGGATTTCACAAATATTATCTGAGCTGACGATATTCTGGCTATTTTTACAGATTTTAACATATTTTAATCTTCCAACCAATAGTCGCACACAATATTTTATTCAACTACCGCAAGAAATATACATAGTTTAAAAACGAATTATGAACAATTAAAGAACCGACACAATTATGGCACAAGGAATTTAAAGCCAATTTTATTTGATATTTTATCTGACATTTGACATCTGTCGTACAGTTTCAACGTCACTTTTTACATTTTTAATTTTAAGCTGTTCAACTTCAACAGGTGGGCGAAGTAGCGTTTCGCCCACTGGTTAAAGTTAAGAAATGAAATAGGTTTTGAATAATAGTATATTGTTTTATTCAGCTGCCACAAGGAATTTAAAGCCAATTTTATTTGATATTTTATATGACAGCTGTCAATCAGTTTTAACCTCACTTTTTTCCAATTTAAACTTGAAGCTTACTTCAGCCCATGGGCGAAATGCTATTTCGCCCATCGGTTTAAGTTAAGAAATCAAATGGGTGCTGAATAAAATACTAAAAATATGTATTATAGGAGTAGTGTTTTGTTGCACATATTCTATGAGCGGTTTTTAGTACCAAAAATCGTAAGAAAACTTTATATGAAAATAGTTCGGTAAATGGTCCCTAAGGGACCTACAGCTTCTTAAAGGGGCGCTCCTGAAGATGGTTTTTTATTATTTCCGAAACGGTTTGAGATAAAATAATAAGATATTGTCTTTAGTAACCGCGTGTAGTTTTGCACACTATTTTCGGAACACCCTGTATACACGGTGCCTCATAATTAGCGTGCAATACTTTGGCAGCAGATTTCACATACAAAAATAGGAAAAAAAAGTTCCTATAAACATATGTTGAGAAATGCTTCCTAAGGGAGCTACAGCCCCCAAAAGAGGAGACCCTGATGATGGTTTTAATTTAATATCTCTAAAACCGTTGAAGATAGAAAAATTAAATTTTAAGAATTAATCAAACATCCTGCATCTAATTTTTCCTAAACATGGCAGCCATTTTCCATGGCCCAAGTATTGCATGGTTATTATGGGACACCCTGTATATACAGTGTCTCTGGATGAACTGAAAAAGAGGAATTTTTATTTTAAACCTTTCAAAAAATGATATTCTTCATACAAGTTTTTCCTTCTTTTAAAATTAATAATATTCTAAACAGAAGTTGAATAAATTTTTTTCGAAAAATTGCAAATAGTTAGTTCATCTGGGGACAATGTATATATTATTACCTATAATCCGGTCTCTTCTATAGTTAGGTATTAAAAAAACACAATTTTTTTTATATTACACAGTTTTAAAAACTGAGTTTTTATCAATTTAATTACTAACTTATATTCAATTGAATCATTTATTGTTAAAACAAGCTGACATTTTTATATTACGTACCTTTTTATTTTAAATTATTATTTTGAGGCCTAAATATTTATATTAGCATTGGGATATTAAAAAAAGATATTTTCATGACAAATTTTTAGGTTAAAACAGCACAAGTCCACCATTATTAGTTTTTATGATATGATTGTCAAACAAAATTAATAAAATCATATTGTCACTAAACTTGTTTTAACAATAAACGATTTATTTAGATCATTTTATATCCAGTTTGCACATTTTAGATCAAAATCATTTAATCTAGGATTAGTTTAAAAATCTTATACGTTAATTCTAAAGAATATATTTTAAATTGTTGATACAAGATTTTATTGTTAAATATTAAAATTCTCAAAAGAAAAGAAAAAAATCCTCTATTAATTGAATTGTTTTTTGTGAATATATTTTTAATTGTTGATAATAGATTTTATTTTTAAATATTAATATTGTCAAAATAAAATGGCCTGTAAATAGTATGTCTTTGGTTCTAATTCTAATTAATTTATTTATTATTTAATAAATTTACTTAATTTAATTAAGTTTGTACCTATTTTTGTAACCTGTGGATAAAGTTAACGTACTATTTTAAATAAAAACACTGCAATTAAAGTTTTTGTATTCATTTTTTATATTTAATAAAACAATCTGTTAATATTATGCAGCATTACGTTATTATAATATATTAGCTTCTTTTTGAAAAGCAAAAAGTATCAAAAATACAAATATAGCATTGATTTATTGTTAAAATAAGTAATAAAAGAAAAATGATGTTATTTTTCAGAATAAAATCAACTCTTGACCACTTTCCTGATGTTTAGTAATTTGGAAAAATAGATTTTAATACTCCAGGACCCCTTAATTAATTGTGATGTTTAGACTGAGAATGTGGTTCTATCTTTTTAAATAATTTAATGTAGTCATACAACCGTACGAAATGTACCTAATATTGTTTCAGATTATGTTGTGTTATCTTATTAATTGCACATTAAATATATGTTATACAAAATTTTATTAAGTATTTCATATTTCCCACCCTTCAAAATTAAAACATACTCGGACTGGAATTGAGATTTATTTAGCCTAACATATACTTATATAAATATTTTGTACAAATAATAAAAATATAAATATCACAAATATATAGTAGGTATAATAATATTGATATACATACAGTAAATGTACCTTTTTGATTGACTTACACAAATCTAGATTAATAAATAAATTATTTACGTTTAAAAATGTCCTTCCAAGTCGGGTCTGCTTCGGGATGGTTCTTGACTACTGTTACTCGTTTTAACCTGTTTTATTGCCGGTAACAACGTGCCTTTTACATGGCATTGCGGACACAAATCGTTCACTTCTGCCGCTTTCAAGCAACTCAAGTGAAAACAGTGCCCGCAACTCCAAACTCTTATTGAATGGTCCGTCTCTAATTCCTTTTGGACTGTAGCTGATTTTTGACATAGTTTACATGTGAGGGATGAGACTGAGAGACCTCGGCCGCCTGCAGCCAGGGATTTTGCCAAACCTTAAAAAAGTACATTTTATCATTTGGGATTATTGATAAAGTTTTAATAGTTTCAATTAAACCAAAGCCAATTTTTTTATTTTATGCAAATATATTCTTCAATTTGAAATATAGGCCCACAGAAATTGATCCCCCAAGAGGTTTTGCTAGCTTAGCTCAATTAAGCTTATATCATAAATTTTGTGGCATAGGCCTTAGATTGTTTTATCACAAACGATCCGTCTTGGCTACTTTAGTAAGTATCAAAAATTGACTAGTCCCTAATAATAAGCAATTTAATTAGTAAAATAATTAACTTATTTACTCAATTTTCATTTTATCATAATATCAAAATCGTAATCCTTGTCTCTAAAAACAAAAATCCTTTTTTTTTTTTATAAAAAAGGACTAAAATTGATTTTGTATTAAAATTATTAATTAATTAATAATAATAAAAATATTACTATAATAATAATGTTGCATACATTACAATCATGTGGATTTCGTGAATTGGAAGTTCTGAATTATACGGTTTTATATTGAACTTGAAAAAATTTATATTGAACTTGAAAACAAGTTTTAAATGTTAAAAAATAGGTGTTTAAATTTGCCAAACATGAGAATGCCCATTCCACGCATAACAACGTAAGTATTACTCTTCACATTTTCAGCATAACAAAGATTACAAAGTCTTTTTGCCGAGTAGTTTTCAAGTTAATTAAGTTTAAGAAACTTGAATACCCTGTGTGTTTTACTTAATACATTATTTTGTTAACCTTTATTTTAAGATATTTGTATAAGGGGCATTCCACACTAACTAGGAACGCATATCTTATATTATGCATATTATGGATTACATAACAAAACTTCGAGATTAAATAATAATTATTGTACTTTAAAGTAATATAATAATTTAATTTGGATTTAGTCGACTTTAGTTGACTTTTTTTACTTGTCTTGACCGTCAGTCAAATTTATATGAATAATTGTTAGCTTCTTTACAAGTTAATCTTAACAATACCATATTCAGCACTATTCAGGCCTCTTATATGAAAAAGCAAATTTTCGTGATTTTTGTAGTATATGAGTCAAACATGAATTTAACAGCACTTGGCCAAAATACATAATTTTTAGGTTGCCAAAACATCCCTTGAAAAAGAGATTTCTTACATGGTAGAAATATGAGCAAAGTAAGGTAAGGTATGATATTTGTACTAAATAAGTTTAACCCAAAAATGTTGATAAATGTAAAAGAATTTGCTAGCCCTTGATTGAATAGTCCCAAATTTTTAAATTTAACTTTTCAGAATTACCTTTGGCTTAAGTCCACTTTATTTAAATTTTATGGTATTCTAAAATTTAGAATCTAAATATAAAAAAAAATAAAACCTTGTAACGGAAAATGCTCTTCAAGTTGTTAAATTTCAATTTAGTTGTTGTAATAACTTAAATTTTTAAAGTGACACATTACACGCACCTTTTAGCTCAGACGTAGACAAAAAATAAGACTATTTAAAGTGGGTATTTCTTTCTTTGGCTAACCTTCCCGAAATTTATGCTAAGGTTAAAAGTAATTTAGATCAAGCTTATAATAGGTATAAAAATCGTTATGATTTGCGTAGACGTCATATGACTCTTAACGTTGGAGATTTAGTGTATAAAGAGAACAAAATTTTATCAGATGCTAGTAAACATTTTAATGCAAAGTTAGCTCCTAAGTTCGTTCGTTGTAGGGTGCATAAAGTTGTATCACCATTAGTGTATAGTTTGGTTGATGAGAATGGGAAAGATTTGGGTAATTGGCATGTAAAGAATTTAAAACATGTTTCAGATATGACTTTTGATGTGGAGAACGGTTGATTGCGTACGTTTACCGATTTTTTTTTATTTATTTTTTTACCACGTTTCGGTGGTGTGTCACGAGTATAAAATCGCGACGTTTTAATTTGGCGGGTTTTAATGTTTTGGAACAAATATTAATTAATTTCGACAGTGTAATCAAGGCTTTCATTTTTAATTGTTTATAATTTCTTTTGGTTTATCGTTTTAATGCATTAATGCGGCGGTATTAATTTATAATTATTTAATAAATTTCAATTGTTAATGTATTGGTATATAATTTTTTATTAGTTACTGTTGGGATAATTTACATTTTATTATATTGTTTCGCTGTGTGGACAGGGCTTTTATTGCGCATTTAAAGAGGGGGGGTAAGTAGTGGAATTATTAATTGAGTTCTTTTCTCTGGTTCTAGAGACAGGTAAAACGATACAGGGGGTATATCGATACAAAAAAAATATTATCGATAATATCGATATTTTTATGATTACACTCATAGACACTCATATATGTAGTAGTTTAAATATAATATTATGCAGACACTTCTTGTAAAAATGTATAGGTTAACAATAATACTCGCGAAGTTAGATTCAAGTTCTTGCCAACCATTAAAATAATAGGTTCGTTCGCACAGCGATCCGGGACGAGTTTGGGATTCCTATGGCAGTCCTGATTGGCGTATTTCAAGGTCTTGGATTTCTTTATTTGAATTGCACCAATCACATCGGCCGAAAAAATCACAATCGCAATTCTGATCGCTTTGCGAACGTAGCTAATACTATTTGTCTTGTATCTTACTTCGCGAATATGTTTGGTTTAACCATAGACATAGAGAGTTTAACCATAGACAGAGAAAGTTATCTACAGGTTCATTCCAACCAGCAGTAATATTACCGTAATATTATCGTCCGTAACAGCGTTAATGCGACTGCGCGAACGAAAACAGTAAAATTATTTTGAATATCGTATAAACTGGTTGGAACCTTTTTTGAACTAGTAGTACTCACAATCAGAAGAAAAAGAATATAACCTAAAACCCACAATTGTACTTATTGTGCTAAAAGCTAAGTAAAGCGCATATAAAAGTATATTTTAATAACATATGTTATTAAAATATACTTTTATATATATCACACATTGATAATAAATTCTTCCATTCCTGCTCACAAATGACAAAAATTAGATGTAAAAATTAATTAAATTACCTTGTATAGCAGTCATTTTTAAATAATATGTCCACTTTTACAGAAAACAAACTTACAATATTACAAACGTTAATAAATAAACAAAAAGTTGAGGTTATATGCCCTCTTCTACGCATGCGTCTAATTTTATTATCAACAGTTCTTGCTCTCGAGCAAGAATCGTTTGAACCGTAATTTTACTGTCCGTAACTCTGGTTGGAACGACGAACTGACAGTAATTCATGATTTATTATCTATGCAGTAATTGCCAGTTCTAAACTAGTAATTTTAGTTGGTTGGAACGACATTTTACAAACGCGCATGTGTATCAGTAATATTACTGGAAATTACTGCTGGTTGGAATGAACCTAATGTCTTTGGGTTTAACTTTTTTCCGTTCTCATATTTTCTATTTTGCTTAATTCGTGATTTTTAAATTAACGATATAAACTAACGATACGCAAAGGATATATCGATTCAGTGTTTGCAGAATATGTATCGATATTATATCGATATGCGTATCGTTATACCTGCCTCTATCTGGTTCTTTTCGATGCAATCTTTTGACGAAGCAGCACGGCCGATAAATTCGGTAAGATATTTTTATTTTAAAATGGGGTGTAACTAATAGAATTCATTTTTTTAAGGCTGTTTGGGTATACTGTTTGGGTATACTAGTTTTGATACCTTAAGTTTTGGTATGCTTAATTTTGATACCGTATTGAATATCGCATATTTTATTTAATGTATTCTACGTGACTACTACGCAGCAAATAGCGGCATGGTGATATTTTTTTCTGCGAGCCACGCTTAAGTTTTTTTGGTGCAGTAAATCAAAACGCAATATTGGTATACGGATTTTTTTGGAGTTTGCAACAATACTACTACGGATGTAATCCTGACATACATTTTGGGCAATTTCAACTTGAATAACATATAACTGGAGAGATTTCATCACCTCACTGTACGGACTCAATTCCTTGGGCATTGTTCGATAAAGTTGAATCGACCAGCAAATTGGTAATCTTCAGATCAAGGTGATGTACTATTTTATTAATCTTTAATATCTTCCCAACATCAAACCGTAGTAATATTTTGCCAGTTAGCAAACTACCTTATTGTGAATTAAGTATAAAGATTATATTTCAATTTTTTAGCACTAAATCCTTCAGAATTAATGTTGCTATATTATTTGTAAATTTGGTATACCTAATCAGTAAAATTATTGTATTTCTGATTACTTAGTTGGTAGGTATTAATTAATATTATTTTGGTATAGTATTGCTATGCTATATTATTTGTAAATTTGGTAGAATCATTAAAATTATTGTATTTTGGATTTCTTAATTAATAATATTTGATATTATTTTGGTAAATAAATGGGATATTGTATTATGGGAAAATTGTGCTTTATTCAATTAGTCTAGATTTATTTCAGAGTATATTTGTTTATTATTTTATACTTTATTTACTGTATTCAATCCAATAACCCTCCCCTGAAGGTAAGTTTCATTTTTTTGTCTCCTTTGAGCTAGTGCAGGTGCGTGTAACATTTCACTTTAAAAATTTAAGTTATTACAACAACTAAATTGAAATTTAACAACTTGAAGAGCATTTTCCGTTACACAATTGGCGCCCAACGTGGGGCGCCAATTGTGTAACGTAATTAAACTTACTTTTGAATGTTATTTTAGTTGGATGTTAAACTATTTATAATGAGTGAAATGTTACACGCACCTGCACTAGCTCAAAGGAGACAAAAAAATGAAACTTACCTTCAGGGGAGGGTTATTGGATTGAATACAGTAAATAAAGTATAAAATAATAAACAAATATACTCTGAAATAAATCTAGACTAATTGAATAAAGCACAATTTTCCCATAATACAATATCCCATTTATTTACCAAAATAATATCAAATATTATTAATTAAGAAATCCAAAATACAATAATTTTAATGATTCTACCAAATTTACAAATAATATAGCATAGCAATA